CAGACAGAATAACTGATCCTTCTCTTGAAGAAGCTTTTTCTGACGAGCATTTCAATGAAAATCAGGAAGAAGTCAGCATCCCTCTGGTGGGAACTTGCTGTTGGCAGGCAGCTTGGCCTCTGGCTCGTGGCAGGGAAGACACCACGCTGGGCTGTGCTGTGGCCCACCCTGCTGGTGGGACAGTCTGGCCGGTCCCTCTGATGGGACCACGTTGGCAGCGCAACACGAGGAAGCGAAACAAAACCAAAACAAGCAAATAAGACTCAGGCTAGACGACAAGGAAATAATTTATTCCCAGGTCCTAGAAAGACCTTGAAAAAATAACAAGGGTGAGGAACTCAACCTCCTAATTTCATTTGGGTAGAGAAAGGAAACCAAAGTGACTCCATCGGACGTGGTGGCAGCTGCCAGCTCCTCCTGCCGGGTGCGGGGTGGGCAGGGAGCGCGGGGCAGCGCCGCGTGGAGCCGCCGGCTCGCTCGGCACCGCGCTCCCCCCGTATTTACAGGTGGGATAGAAATCAAAACGCAAGCGTGCGTGCATGCGCGCTGGGGAGGACAGGCTGGCCGGGGACGGAGAATAACCCGCTGGGAGGGTTGCTAAACACGTACCCTGTCAGACCCCATCTCCTACGGACGGAGCCCTGCTATTGCACAACACTTTTGCTAGAGGAAGGGCCAGCTCCGGAGGGGCGAGGGCACAGCTCTTCAGCCCGGAGGGAAAACACGAACACGTTCCTGAGGAAAAAGAGGGCTTTTCTCCATTCTCCTACTCCTGGGTTCGGGGCAACACCTGCCTGAGGTGGAGTGGCCGGAGCTGGCACTTGATGGCCAGCGTGGAGCAGCCCGTTGGCCCCGCTGCCTCCCCAGCATCGTCACAGTGAACCAGCAGCAGGCCAGGGTGTGGGTGCCAGCGGTGGGGCGCCTGCCACCTCTTTTTTTGGGGGGGGAGACCGGAGAGACCCTGAGAAGCGAGCAGCTCCCAGTCCCAGCGCGAAAGCCAAGATGTGGATGTGGTGGCCATGGGCAGGAGCCATGGCAAAGGTGCCTCCTGCCCTTCTACCGCTGTCAGGTCTCGTGCTGCAGCCAAAGGACCAACACCAGCAGCCGGGAAGCAAAACACAGTAATAAAAAAAATGAACACGTGTGTACATTTACATTTAAACCTTCTCCAAGGATAGAATACACTGTCTGTGGCTAAACTAAAAGGACAAACCCAATGACAAGCCCAGGATGTGTCAAGCCATGGGAGACCTTATCAGTTACCTATCAATGACATAATTGATTTTTTTTTCCAAGGGGAGCAGATAAGGAGCTGCACGAGCCAGCACGGCCTGAGAAGCTGCCTGAGGGTGTTGCTCAAAATGCTGCTCAATTTACTCCCCCCCCAGGGGAAGGCAGCAGGCTGGGAAAGTGCAGGGTACCAAGTGCTTTCCTCCAGCATCACCTGCAGCCCGAGGAGCAGTGGCACATCCCACCATCCTCCTCCTGACCTGCCTCTCAAAACCAGAGACTTCAAGCAAAGGCAGTCTCGCTGCAGGAGCTTGTGCAGGCTTCTTGCAGGGCACTGTGCCAGGGTGGGGACACCCTGGGCACCCTGAGGTGTCACAGACCCGCTGCCCAGCCTGTGCAGCAGTGCCAGAAGGATCTGGCCTCACTAACATGTCCTGGAGATGGCTTTTCTATTGCCAATGATGATGCTTTGCTGGGTGTAAGCAAGAATTATCCCTCCAAACCACCGTGCTGGGGTTCCCTCGTGCCCTACATCATGGTCCTCTAGCCAGGATGCGGCTCTTCCCCACCACGCAAGGCCAGGATGTGCCAATGTCCTCCCTTCTGCCCTGCACGGCCCATGCTGGAGCTTGGCTGAGAGCCCTGCAGAGCCAGGCCCAGCCTGCCCAGAGGGGCTGGCAGAGCCAACCCGGGGACCACCACTCCACACCCCTCCAGCATCGCTCCCCAGCACCGCGGCTGCTCCACATCTCAGGCCACAGCACCGTGCCTTGGCAGCAGGCGGGATGTCTCCATCCATCACGTGTGGGGAGACACATCTGTGGGGCACGCCAGGACCCCACAGACAACATCTACCGTGCAGGGAGAGCCCCTTCAAATCACAAGCATCTCTGATAACCACAAGAAAGGTCTAAGAACTGAGAGGTGAAGCAATTGCAGCTTAGAGGGGAGGTGTGTTTTGAAGCAAACCCTAGTGCAGTGGTCCCTCCATGCAGGATGTGACCCCGGAGCCTGCATCCAGCAGGCGCATCCCCACCACCACTGCTACCGAGGAGCCCGCGCGCAGAGAGAAGAAGGACTCCATAAAGCAAGCAAACCCAAGGGGGGAAAAAGCTGAACAGAAGTTAAAAGCTTGTTTCCCTCTGCAAGGAAAGCTCTTAAAGAAATCAAAGCACTTCAAATGCTCTGACTCAAGTGACAAAAACAATTTAGACGACAAAAGGCTCCCGGTTTGCTCTTCCTCTCCTGAACTGGGCTCACTGAACAGATCTATTTAAATGATAATTCGTGGGGGAGAAACCCCCTCCAAACTCTCTTGAATTAGATTTTCTCTTTCTTAAATTAATGTGTAGTGCTTTAATGGAGACTGGTATTAAGGAGATGACGATGGCCACAGTGGCTCCTTCGGGCACCCCAGCCTCACCGTGGGGGTGCTGAGGTGCCCCGAACAGGAGGCAGCTGCCAAGGAGCACGTCGCCTGGTGCTCCCTGGCCCCGTGACGCAGCCCCTTTCTGGTGGCCATGGAGCCCGACTGGAGGCACACACTGTCCCTACGTGGCACCTGGTGGCACGGAGCCCCGGTCCAGGAGGTGCCTGGAGCCTCACGAGGGGTTGGTGGGATGGCTAGGACTCCTCGCTGTCCTCCTCGCCCCTGCGCCCAGCGTAGAGCGCTGCCAGCTGGCGGAAACGTGGCCCCCAGACCCCCAGGTAGGAGAAGTCCTGCTCCGAGCCACTGGACCAGGTGTTGATGGAGCTCAGGGAGGGCACGGGGGAGTCCGAGCCCTCGAAGGCGTAGGTCTGGAAGGAGTCGTAGGGCGGCACTGAGAGGTCCTCGTCCGCCTGCTCCACCTTCTTGCAGATATAGTCTCTGAACACGGAGAAGTCCAGGTCCGGGCTCTGCACCCACTGCGGGAGGGCATGGAGCTCGGAGGCCGGGTTTCCGCTCGGGATCCCCTCTCCCGGCCCCCCGCCTCCGTCACCACCTTTGATCTCACTGAAGTCGTAGAGGCTGCGCAGGGCTGACATGTCATAGGCCTCTGTGTCCTGCTCACCACCCCCTTCGTCATTGTATTTGATGACATTGTCCCTCATGTCCTCGTCATCCTCAGATGTCAGGTGGCTTTTGTGGTGCCGCTTCAGCGTGAGGATCAGAAGGACCAGCACTGGGAAAGGAAGAGATGGTCAGATGGGTGCAGGGGCTTGCGCAAGTTGTGCTCTTGCAGGGGCAAGGACCAAGATGGCCAGCGTGCCAGCCAGCTCCTACCAGCCACTGGGACAGGAGGGACAGATGGATGAAGGCACAGCTGAACAGACAAACGGATGGATTCTGCAGAAGATGAGGAGGAAAAGGGGGTGCATGAATCACAGCAGCAGCCAAATGTTGGGAGGGTGAATGTGGAGCAGATGGCACAGAGCCCAAGCAACGAGCCGCAGATGTGGCCGGGATCATCATCCATTCATCCCATCACCTTTAAAGCACCGATGTGCACTTTATTCGTTTGGGCAATTAGGCAGAAATTTGTTTGCGCTGCGTCGGAAAATGAAACCCGTGTAAAGTGCACCCTGTGGGAAAGGGATTTCTAAACGGAGACACAGCAGGAGACGGGGAGCCAAGGAGAGGAAACTTCACCCAACAACGCGCTGGCTTCCACAGATGTCCGGACAGCCCTCGGGACCCAGCTGTGAGCCTGCACCGGCTCTGGAGGGCTTTCAGCAGCATCATCCATCACCTGCCCTATGCTAAACCTGAGGGCACTACAACACCCCTCTCTCTGCAACATCCTTCTCTCAGAGCCCCTTCCCACACACACACAAGCCCACACCTCCCCTGCACCTTCACACCGTGCCCTGGTGGCCCAGCACAAGCTTGTGGCAGCGTGGCAGTGGTGGATGAGGATGGAGAGGAGAAGGGACAGGACAGGAGGAGGCCAGAGGGCGGGTGGGCACTCACCGACCAGAATGAGGATGCAGACCAGCAGTGCGATGAGGGCACCGGGGCTCAGCGTGGCCGACACGACGTAGGCTGTGCTGTTGCAGGACTGGATGGCCCCGTTGCTGTCGCAGCCACAGATGCGGATGGTCAGAGTCCCCGTGCTGCTGAGGGCTGGGGGGCCACTGTCCACCACTAAAATGGGGAGCAGGTACACGTCCTGCTCCTGCCGATTGAAGCCCACTCTCTGCGTGTGCACCGCAGCCGTGTTGTCTGCAGGGAACAAGTAAATCCACAGCAAAGTCACCCCCATAGCACAACCAGCGGGAGTCACCACAAAGTCCTTCACGCTCAAGACAAAGAGGGGTTGATCGTGCTCCAACTCCAGGAACTGCCCAAAGTTCTCCATCAGAGAGGAGTCAGGACCCAGTTCATGGCTCTCCTGCACCACAGCCTCTCAGCAGCCCAAGTGCCTGGAGGTGGCCAGCTCTGCTCCAGCACATGCCCCTTCACCAGGCACCTTGGGCCAGCCTGGCATCTTCCCTCACCAGCCCAGGGCATGGTGAACCCAACACAGGAGCAACAGCACGTGGGTACCTGAGCTGTGCTGACAAACAATGCAGTTGGAGCAGAGAGGGGAAAAAACCTTCCAGAGGACCCTCTGAGAGCGGCACAGAGCAGGAATCAGGATAAAAACCAGTTGCTGACATGGAGACCAGAGTGAACAGGGGTCTGCAGATGGCACTGAACCTGCTTCCAAGAGCTGAGAGCCCCAGGTGAAGGCTCCTGCCTCAGCCAGAGAGCCAAACACCCCCAAGATCCTCTGTAACTGGTGGGATGGCTAGGACTCCTCGCTGTCCTCCTCGCCCCTGCGCCCAGCGTAGAGCGCTGCCAGCTGGCGGAAACGTGGCCCCCAGACCCCCAGGTAGGAGAAGTCCTGCTCCGAGCCACTGGACCAGGTGTTGATGGAGCTCAGGGAGGGCACGGGGGAGTCCGAGCCCTCGAAGGCGTAGGTCTGGAAGGAGTCGTAGGGCGGCACTGAGAGGTCCTCGTCCGCCTGCTCCACCTTCTTGCAGATATAGTCTCTGAACACGGAGAAGTCTAGGTCTGGGCTCTGCACCCACTGCGGGAGGGCATGGAGCTCGGAGGCCGGGTTTCCGCTCGGGATCCCCTCTCCCGGCCCCCCACCTCCATCACCACCTTTGATCTCACTGAAGTCGTAGAGGCTGCGCAGGGCTGACATGTCATAGGCCTCTGTGTCCTGCTCGCCACCCCCTTCGTCATTGTATTTGATGACATTGTCCCTCATGTCCTCGTCATCCTCGGATGTCAGGTGGCTTTTGTGGTGCCGCTTCAGCGTGAGGATCAGAAGGACCAGCACTGGGAAAGGAAGAGATGGTCAGATGGGTGCAGGGGCTTGCGCAAGTTGTGCTCTTGCAGGGGCAAGGACCAAGATGGCCAGCGTGCCAGCCAGCTCCTACCAGCCACTGGGACAGGAGGGACAGATGGATGAAGGCACAGCTGAACAGACAAACGGATGGATTCTGCAGAAGATGAGGAGGAAAAGGGGGTGCATGAATCACAGCAGCAGCCAAATGTTGGGAGGGTGAATGTGGAGCAGATGGCACAGAGCCCAAGCAACGAGCCGCAGATGTGGCCGGGATCATCATCCATTCATCCCATCACCTTTAAAGCACCGATGTGCACTTTATTCGTTTGGGCAATTAGGCAGAAATTTGTTTGCGCTGCGTCGGAAAATGAAACCCGTGTAAAGTGCACCCTGTGGGAAAGGGATTTCTAAACGGAGACACAGCAGGAGACGGGGAGCCAAGGAGAGGAAACTTCACCCAACAACGCGCTGGCTTCCACAGATGTCCGGACAGCCCTCGGGACCCAGCTGTGAGCCTGCACCGGCTCTGGAGGGCTTTCAGCAGCATCATCCATCACCTGCCCTATGCTAAACCTGAGGGCACTACAACACCCCTCTCTCTGCAACATCCTTCTCTCAGAGCCCCTTCCCACACACACACAAGCCCACACCTCCCCTGCACCTTCACACCGTGCCCTGGTGGCCCAGCACAAGCTTGTGGCAGCGTGGCAGTGGTGGATGAGGATGGAGAGGAGAAGGGACAGGACAGGAGGAGGCCAGAGGGCGGGTGGGCACTCACCGACCAGAATGAGGATGCAGACCAGCAGTGCGATGAGGGCACCGGGGCTCAGCGTGGCCGACACGACGTAGGCTGTGCTGTTGCAGGACTGGATGGCCCCGTTGCTGTCGCAGCCGCAGATGCGGATGGTCAGAGTCCCCGTGCTGCTGAGGGCTGGGGGGCCACTGTCCACCACTAAAATGGGGAGCAGGTACACGTCCTGCTCCTGCCGATTGAAGCCCACTCTCTGCGTGTGCACCGCAGCCGTGTTGTCTGCAGGGAACAAGTAAATCCACAGCAAAGTCACTCCCATAGCACAACCAGCGGGAGTCATCACGAAGTCCTTCACACTCAAGACAAAGAGGGGTTGATCATGCTCCAGGAACCGCCCAAAGAGGGGATGGACCTCCCTCCTCTCCATCAGAGCGGAGCCAGGACCCAGCTTGTGCCTCTCCTGCACTGCAGCCTCTCAGCAGCCCAAGTGCCCGGAGGTGGCCAGCTCTGCTCCAGCACATGCCCCTTCACCAGGCACCTTGGGCCAGCCTGGCATCTTCCCTCACCAGTCACCAGGCACCTTGGGCCAGCCTGGCATCTCCCCCACCAGCTTACCCAGGGCATGGTGAACCCAACACAGGAGCAACAGCACGTGGGTAACGGAGCTATGCTGACACACAATGCAGTTGGAGCAGAGAGGGGAAAAATCCTTCCAGAGGACCCTCTGAGAGTGGCACAGAGCAGGAATCAGGATAAAAGCCAGTTGCTGACACGGAGACCAGAGTGAACACTGGTCAGGTGGCACTGAACCTGGGAGAGCAGTTACTGCTTCCAAGAGCCAACAATGCAGTTGGAGCAGAGAGGGGAAAAAACCTTCCAGAGGACCCTCTGAGAGCGGCACAGAGCAGGAATCAGGATAAAAACCAGTTGCTGACATGGAGACCAGAGTGAACAGGGGTCTGCAGATGGCACTGAACCTGCTTCCAAGAGCTGAGAGCCCCAGGTGAAGGCTCCTGCCTCAGCCAGAGAGCCAAACACCCCCAAGATCCTCTGTAACTTCTGAAGGAGCAGTCAAGAGCTCCTTCCAAGCCTCCCAGCCGTCCTCCTCCCATCTGCTCAAACCCTGCTGTTCCAGGGGCTCAGCCGGCACAGCACAACCCATTGCCATCCCATTAACACGGCCACTTCATGGGCCCCTCCAGGGCCCCGGCGCCAGAGATGAACCCAAGCAGCAGCTGCGTCCGGGCGACCTGGAGGAGGGAGGGGAAGGAACAGGGGCTCAAAATCAGCTCAGCTCCCTGCTCCTGTGGGCTACTCGCTGCCAGGCAGCAGCAGAGCCGGGAAGGGATTGAACAGTAGCTCAACGATTGCGGCCAGATGTCAGAAGTCGCTGCCGACTGTCTGCAGTCTTTATCTAATAAAACATAGATTGGCCCGCTCACAGCGAGGTGCTGCTGTCTACAGACTCTCTCCTTATTGCACCTGATTTATGCTGGACTGGCCCCTTTCTGTATCAATCAGCTCTTCGATCGGAAAAGACATCTATTCTAATTCTGGCTCTCGGGCTGCCTGCCACCACGGAAATTGCCGTATGGATCAGGTGCTGCACGGGAGCACGTGGGGCATGGTGGGGACAGGAGATGAGCCAGGAGCAGAGCAGAGGGGCAGGCACACGCCGAGCCACGGGACAGGGAAGATCCACCAGCCAGACGAGATGGGTGACAGATCCCAGATATGCCACACGGCAGCAGGGACAGGGCAGAGCACAGAGCCCATCTTCCCCCGAGCTGCTCAGGGCTGGGAGCAACGCAGTTGGGGCAGAGTCTGCCAGGATCCCAGTGCTGAGCCCTCACCCAGCTCTGCCAGTACAAACAAGAGGCACAGAGGACATCAGGACTGCTGCAACCGACCCCAGAAAAGGCCAAGCAAGGGCAAAGCTGGTCTCTGCTTCAGGGCAGACTGGAAGAGGAGCTGGGGCAGTCCATGTCCCCTGTGCAGAGGTAAAGCCCACCCAATGTATGCTGGAGCCAAGCAAGGCAAGGTGCAGCAAGAGCGAGGAAGATGTCTGTGCCCAGAGGGGAGGCAGCAGTGCTCGGGCTTGTGCCCAGAAGAGCTCTCAGATACCAGATTGCTCCTTCCTATCATCAGGTTTCTGGACTCAGCCCACCAAAGTTTTCTGTGTTGCCAGAATACGGCCAGAATGGGGAGAGCAGAGCCTTTGGCAGCCTAGCTGGGGATAGCTGGGGTTCCAGCACAAAGGAGACAGGGAGAAAATCATCTCTCCCAGTTCACCTCAGAGCACAGGTCTGCCTCAAAGAGCTCAGGGCGGGAAAGGCGAGAACACCAGAGAGCAGATCACACCAGCCAACATTTGGAGGCTGCACTGAATGCCACAAAGGTGATATTCAAAACTAGACCTTATTCATCTACACAGAACTGTGCTGCAGGTCACTAGAAAAAAAAAAGCCTCTTCCTTTGTGTGTAGCATCTTTTATCCATTAAGGGAATTTTCCAGGTAACCTCACTCATCCCTGCTCACAGCAGCAGACTTCAGGCAGACAGCATCCTGGGGAGCTCAGAGCAAATGCTTGTACCAGTCGATGTGTGGACAGTTTGCCTCAGAAGGGGGACATTGCATGCAATGCCAGCGCTCTGCCGGCAAGGCTGCAGCGCCCAGCACCGACCTGTGCTCCGAGTCAGATGTGACCCAAGTGCCACAGTGTCACCAGCCCACGATGGGGTTGCCCACAGTGGAAAGCACGATCCTTCTGCCCCACAGGCATCGCCTGGCTTCTCTCTATGTGAAGCAGGGAGCACAGACCCTCTTCCTGGGCAGCCACCTGGTCCCACATGGCATCTGCCACCACGGCTGAGACTTCTGGAGTGGCACGTGGCCCCAGCAGAGAGAAACTCAGCGGAGCTGTCAGGAGGAGCAGGGGAGCACCAGCCCCCCGGGAGGCAGAGAGCATGAAGCAAGCGTGGCAGCCTGCCGGCAGCAGGAGCTGCCTATTGCCTACCAAGGATGAGCTAGGAAAAAAAAATAATATTGTTATGCTAATCCTTTGCACAAAGGTAACAAGATCTCATTTGGTGCTGCTCCCTCAGCTTGCTGCAGCATAGCAGGGAGATATAAATAACGTTAATGGCACCGTCTCAGCAAGAGGCCAGGACTAACTCCTAGATAGCCCAGCTAAACATAAGCCTCAGGCATCTGGATGCAGTGGAGATAAAGCCATGGGACAAATGGGACAGACCCACTTGCTGTGAGCACGCAAGGCTCTGGCCCTCAGCCCGGGAAGGTCGCCTTTGCTGGCACCATCACACCAGTCGAGTAACCAGCCTGAGCTGGTGGTCGGATCCTGGCTCAGAGGATGCCCGTGCACAGCCCTGTACCTCCACAGGCTGCTCTGGCCCAGGTCTGATGGAACACAGTGCTTGGGAGCTCCCCTTTAGTGCTGCGTAAATACAGGCGTAGCACCAGCTCCTCACCTCTCTGGAAATGCAGCAGAAGGCTGGTGACACCCTCCTGTTTACAGCCAGCTCCAGCTCCTGTTAGGGACCTGCCACAAGGCATGCTGTATTTTTAGAAGCAGTCTCTAGAAATCAAGGGGAAATACATGTCCAAGTCACAGAGAGGCAGCCACTGACCTCAGCTAAGCAGAGACTGCTCAGCCAGCACGTTGCACCGCTGAACCCCCTCACCTCCGAGTGCAGGAAGGAGAAGTGTTTCCACTACTGAACCCACAAAGTCAAAATAAAGCAGCCAGTACTTAAATACAGCAGCAGCACGACAGCCAGCTCTACTCCAGTAAACCTTGCTCTGTAACCCAAAACTCAGCGCTGGGGACGGAGACAAAAATCACAACTACAAAACACTCTTTCAAACATCAAGAAACTACATTTTCTCTCTCGAGCAGTGTGACACGAGCACTTGCTACAGGAGGGAGATCCACACAGGAGTGTCACGACTGCACCTACGACATTGCTCACCGGGGCTGGGCAGCCCAGACCCTGCTCTGGCAGAGACCAGCCCCCTCCCTGCTGCCCACCCGCTGTGCCCAGGGCTCCCCAGGCACCCTGGTTTCTCTGTTGGGTGTTTACACCCCTGTTACTTGCAAACTTCTATGTTCCCTTCTGAGATGCTCCAGAAAAAGCAGTGCTGCTGCCACGCAATGCGCTCTGACCACAGAAGGGAAGAAAATTTTGCCCGGATCTAGGAAATTGTATCCTGGAAAATGCATCCAAAGCAACTTTCTACAAAAAGATGTAATTTCTCTTGGTGCAGTTGTTTCTTCACACACAGCTGACCCAAGGTAGTTGCTTCAGAATGTGTGTCTTGGTGTAATGTGTTTGTAGCGGCACAGCCTGAGTCTCAGCAAAGAAAAACCAGGCAGCACTGGCCCTGCAGCCTCTCATGCCTCTTCCTCTGTAGCAGCTTTCTGCTAAATCCATTTTTGAGGTCACAATGAAGCAATGTTTCCCAGGAGGTGGTAATGAAATTTGAGCAGACATTAATCCACAGCTTTCCGGTACAGACGGGTTTGGATCTCCACACTTCTCTTTTCCTGCCCAGTCCTTGCGAGGTTGCACTTCGTGCTGGGGTCACACCACTCTAAGGGTTGTCCCATGCATTATCTGAAGCCCCAAGCCAAACCATTTACTATCATTGCTGTCTTGCTATGCAAACTGTCATCTCCTCTGGAGGTTTCCTATGCCACCCTCTCCCTGACCACAGTTATCCTGTCTCAGATCCACCTTGTGTGACAGGCTGGAGACAGCACCTCTGCCTGCTTGAAGAGCAAGTCACCAGAAAAGGCAGAAACCAACGTGGGTTGAGTGTGTGCAGGGACCAGTCAATACTGATCTAAGAGGAAAGTTTTGGAATGCAATATACTTTGGTGGCAGTGTAACATCACAAGGAATAAAAAAATAATTAAGTCCCTCAGACTCCCTCTCCAAAGAGGATCTTGGCAGCTTCAGAGACAGAACTAATAAATCCTTTTCATAACTCAATCTTGAACAGCGCTAGGAGAGCAGAAGGGAGGAAGCTACCTCCAGTTTGGATTTTGACATCCCTGCCCTCTCCCACATTTCCGGGGCCACACGAGCATCTGCCTTCCCCTTCTCCAGCAGTTGTTCTGCAGCCCCGGTGCCCAGGCACACCAGCTCCAGGGAGGTGCAGATGGCTCCTGGCTGGGCCAGTGGCCATGCTGCTGCTAGAGCTGCCCAAAAGGAGCAGACGGGCCCCAGATGGGTGCAGCTGGTGGGAGGATAATCCCATTTTTCCCTTTTGCCTCTTCCTTCTCCCAAGTTCTCTGGGTCCCAGGCCACAGCACCACTGCTGCTCATTTACCTTTTGCTCCAGCCTCCCTGGAGTTTTGATGCTCTTTTTCACCCCCCCGTCAGATCAGCATCTGTGCTGCTTGTGCTGAGAACGGCATCTCCCTGCGGGGCTGGAGGAGGCTTCCTCTTATCCTGAGGCAATCCTCAAATCCTAACATTTTGCTTTTGATTGTTACGATTTTCAGATCTTCTATCACCCATTACATGCTCTTAATGAGACCTGCAGAGAGTTCAGACATCTGCTTCCCTAGCCCTTGAGCTCTGGAGTCAGTAGCTCCATGTGTCGCTCCATATTATCTAGCACCCCTTCCAGGTTGCTGGGCTTGGATGCTTTCTACCATCCCTTCCAACACAATTAGCATTTCTTGGAGAACATGGTTTCAGGCTTTAATTGCTTTTGATCCTTCTGTAATCAATTTTCTCAGGCCAGAAGGACCCAGCAAAAGGTGAGTTAGGAGGCAGAGGATGGTGAATGCCTTTGGAATGGCACCAATTGGGCCTGGGTGAGGCCAGCTTTTCCAATTCTATCTCTTCCTTTAAGCACTTCATTTGCTGGGCACCTTCCTTCTGGATGGGGGTCGTCGTTACCACACATGACATTTATTCCTTGTCTGATGAATTAGGAAGTGCTTGAGCATTGGACAGAACACAAGCAAGGAGAGAGAGATGCCGGTAGGAAACGGCGCTGTTTCCAAAAGTCCAACTCCTGCAAAGTGGCTATAATTCAGCTAATGCAAGGTCTCCTGCAGGGTCACCTTTGGCTCTTGTAGCTGTGACCCAGAGCATCAGAGCCGCTGGGAGCTGCCGAGAGGGGCTGCAGGTGCTAACTGCAGGCCCTTGGCAAGGGCCAGCCCCACGCTGTGCAGTTTTGGCTGCAGTGGGCACTGACCCAGCAGGGTTTGGGCAAGTGGCAGTCTCCTGACCGTGTCCTGGCAGAATCCAGCTGCAGCAGACCTGCCCTGTCACCATACGTCCATACTAGGAGGTACTCACTCCATCAGCTCTTCATCTGATGGACAGGCTGCTCCATCGAGCACCCTGGGATTTTCCCTAAAACTCTCACAGGCTTCCTCCACGCCGCCCAAAGGGAGCCCTGGAAGAGCCTGGGAAGCACTCAGTGTCCTCTTCTGCCCGGCTCTGCTCCCACCTGTGCAGCAGGGCTCTGCACTTTAACATTTATCCCACTCTCCTTCTGCTTCTGCGGCCTCCAGTGGGGTCAGTATTGCCATGGAGGTGCCTGCCCAAGCATCCGACCCCTGGGACATCTCATCCATCTCCGTAGCCACCCAGGCACCCCACCTACCAGCCCTGCCACAGCCGGGTGCTCTTGTCCTGCCTGATGAACTCTAACAGGGGCATTCCTGAGGAGATGCTGGTCCCTGCCATGCTGAGGACAAGTCACCCTGCTGAGGTGGTTTTCTCCTGCCGAGGGAAGTAGGTGCGAAGCAAAAGAGAGAAGAAGGATTTAAGCAAGAGCTTAGTGAATCCATCTGTGCTGACATCCATCAGTGTCACTCCTTGGCTGCAAAAGCAATATTTATAAATCACGTTTCAAAACTGGCTACAAATTTGTACAAAGAAACAGATGGGCTGGTGGTAGCAGTTTGTCACCACTGATATTTATATGGAGGAGTAGAGACAAGTGTGAGAGGGGTGAGCACACGTGAGGGAGGCAAGGGGGGGACAAAGGGGGATGCAGTAAAGAAACCCAGGGGAGCAGGGGGTGAAGGTGAGCCCCCCCCAGGGCGCTCCGTGGGCTGGAGGAATGGGTGTGGGGGAGAAACCAAAGGAAGGGAGATGACACCAAAACTCACACAGATATTAGAAACGAGGGGTGCCTCCATCTGCACAGGCAGCCGCCTCCTCTTGCCATGGAAGACAGCACTGCTTGGCAATTGGGGGGGGTCTCCAAACACCCTGGGAATAACCCTGCAGGAACAGCATTTGTTTTCCCGAGAACAGAAGGCGGGAGGTGACGCCAGCTTCTTCTCATTTTATGCAGTGTTGCACCACATGCAAAGTTTGCGAGATCGTTTAGCACGAAGGATTACCCCGTGCAACGAGAGCCTCGGCCCACTCAAGAGAGCAGCAGCTCTGGAGGAGATGGCAGCATGTGAGGCTGCGTCCTGCACCCTCCTGCCACCCCAGCTCCCGGGCTGCTGCTGGGGAACCCTGGCTGAACAAACAGGGGTGACCTCCACAGAGCACCAAGCAGCGAAGCAGCCCCTCCTGAGCTTCAGCCACCCCTGTCAGACAGGAGAAGGAGCAGTGATGGATCACAACCCAGCCATTGCAGACATCCCAGCTCAGAGCAGGGATGGCCACGGACCCCTCGAAGCTTCTAGAAGGGATAGACACCGGGGTGTAACTCAGCACGTTCTCCTAAGGTCCTTCAGAGAAAGTGAAGGAAGTTAATCGCTGGGTGTGGGGCAACATCTTGCAGAGGATTAAAGCTTGCTTACATGGTAAGAAGCAAAAGTCTTGTGAACAGCTGCCCCATCAGCACAGGGAGGGGGGATTCGGGTCAGGGACAGCTCCACTTCTTAGGACACACAGCAATATCCGTCCTTCTACGATTATATCTGAAGGTTTTTGCTGCGAGTTCCATCTTGACTATCCCTAATAACGCTGAAACAAACTGAGCAAGCAGGATCTTACATCAGCAGAGGGTTCCTCTGATAAGCTCAGAACAAACTAAATCAGACTTTTGACAGATGAAACTGCAAAAGCAGAGGAAAAAAATTGTTTAAAAAAAACAAGAAAATAAAACTAAGAGGCTTCTATCCGTGCTAGCCCCTTTGATGAGTAAGTACACATCTGGCTGGAGAAGACTCCAGTATCTGCAAGGGTCCCTGCTGTACATACCACTGCAATTAGCACCTAAATTCACCCAAAGCACCAGTCAAAAATAGGAAGCAGCCTGATAACTATCTCTCTGGGTTGTTACTGTCCACACAAATGCAGCCTGACCTTCGAGTCTGCAAAACCTGCACCCTGGTTAGAGCAGCAGGCGGGGACCGAGTCCTCGGGAGCTGCTCAGCCCCGAGATGCGAAGAACTCCAGAGATGCCCAGAGAACCAGACAGGCCCTGCCCGGCTGCATTTCCCAAAGGATAGGATGAGCCTCGGGAAGCACAGAGGAATCCAGCTCTGCTGGCCACGTCCCAGGTGACCCTTACTGGCTGCTGTGTAGCTCTGCTGCCTCCCAGGACTCCTGAGCTGCTCCCGTTTGTTGGGGGCACAGGAGAGGCTGCCCACCCGCACGGCAGCTCCAGGATTTACCTTGGAGAGGGATAAATCCTAATGCTTAAAATGGGAGTGTGTTCATCTCTAAATCCACATCATCTCCTTGCCTGCAGGCAGGTTGAAGATTTCACATCAAGAAAGAGACCGAGAGCCCTGAAAACATCAAAGGCTAACCAGACAGCATGAGAGGAGCTTTTGACCTGCCTGCAGCAGAAAAGAAAGCTGGCAGAGCATCCTTGAGGAAATCCAAACTGCTAGCTGACCAGTTCCACCATTTCAGGTTGGCGAGGAGCCTTGCAGGGTGCCCAAAGCATCCTGAGGTCCATCCAGCACAGATGGACTGTAAGCCCACAGCCCCATCTCCCTCCCCAGGACCAGCTGTGCTGCTCAGCCTGGAGGCTGCAGGACTTACCCTTAATATCCAGCAGAGAAAAATGGTGGTTGTTTGTGGCTTCAGGTGCCAGCGTGAAGTAGAAACGATGGCCACTCTGAGGCTCATCACGGTCCACAACGCTTATTGTCTGGATCAGCTGTAGGGAGAAAGGAGAGGTGAGAATCAGTGGTGCCTCTGCAGCCCCTTCACAGGGTCTGGCCCAGCAGAGCATCACCAGCTGGGGATGAGCCTTTGTCCCTGCAGGCAGCCTTAGCTGTAGGACACTGGCAAAGTGGCTCCCAGTGTGACAGCAGCTGCACGGGAAGGTGTTTGGGCAGAAGGGGAAGGTGTTTGGGCAGAAGGGGAAGGTTGGGCAGGCTGGCACTGGTCCAGAGCACTGCTCGCAGCACGAGACGGCTGCAGGTGCTGATGGAGACTCAGGAGAAGGGCTGGGGGACACCCGCTACCTGGCCTGGCTTGGCATCCTCACACACAGCAGCTTCATAGGGGGTGGCAAGCTCGGGCGGGTTGTCGTTCACATCCAGGATACGGATACGGAGAGAGGCTCTCGATACCTGGGAGTGATTATCTGAAACAAAAAAAGAAGCAGAACCTCAGCAGGAAGTGCCATCTGCTGCTAGCAGGGGGCAAACCCGCCTTGTCTCTGTCTGTCCAGAGGCCACCGCAGCTCCACACCTCTGCCCACCGGTGGCACACACCGTCTGTGGGCCAGCGGCACCCACAGAGCATCGCTCAGCCTCAGCACTCTTGTATTCCAGTAAAGAAACCCAACTGCTGGGCTGCATACCAAGGACTCTCAAAACACTGCTGTTGGCCTGATCTACCCTTGGGAAAGCGGAGCAGCTCCGAGCAAGTCCCCATGATAAGAGTCAGTCACCACCACCGAGCATCCACGCTGCAGCCAGAGAGCACCCAGGGGGGGACAAGCAAATTCAGGTGCAAGAACATCCCACCCTGACTCAGATCCTGACCCTTACACCCCAGGGGCTACCAGCAACAGCTGAGAGGCGAGCCAGCAGAGTTGGGGGGCATGAAAGAGCTGGGGCGGTGGAGAAATCTGTCCCAGGTGAGGTGGGGCTGAACGCTCCCTTGTCAAGGCGTGAGGCAGGAAGATGGAGGGCAGCTCCATCACCCCCATGCCCACCAAGGGGGGGTCGCAGTGGTCCAGAGGGCTCGTAGCCCACTCCCCTCCCTCAGGGGCACACGGAGCCGCTGGTGATGCTCCGGGCTCGCTCTGCACATGGGATGGAGACTGCATTTACAGCTCCACTCACTGCAGTGCTGCTCTACCCCACGGCACGCGCCGCAAAGGTACATTGAGCCCTCGCTATAAGATTATAAATTACTCTGGAGGGCCTAATGTTTTCCGAAGCACCTCGTGTGCTTCCAGCAATGAGAACTCCCTCGTACTCCATCTCCTTTGTTTTACCCGGAGGTCGCAACTGTGACAGACCCAATGCCTCTCTCCTCGCTCGGGCAGGAGCTCTGCTGCCTGTTTGTCTATAAAATTAATGCTGGCCCCCGCAGATCAGGTGGGGGAGGACCCAGGGGAGAGAAGATTTAGCGCTCCTCCATAATTAGCTGGGAACCTAAGCCCCCTCCCCAGAGCTGCCTTCACCCCGTTCTCACGTTATCACTCCTTCTCACCCAGACCAGCTGCTCTGGTGATTAGATGGTTGTTTTCGGGGGAGGGAGGCAGAAGTCGTGACTAAAAGCCTAGAACGATGTGTTATTTTAAAAGGCATGTTGGTGCAGTGAAATAAACTGCAATTGCTTTCGGGGAGAGAGGAAGGGGGAGGCAGTGGGGAGCCCAGGGGAGGCGGAGGGGTGTGCTTGATGCCCACAGGGGCCACAAACAGGAGGAAAAAGGGTTCAATGCCAGCAAGGAGGAGGATGACAGCATCTCATTACCCCCTCCTCAGCCCACAGAAAGATGGATGACCATCCCTACTGCTGAGCTCTGAAGCAAGCTGGCATTGCCCTGGAGGCACTGCCAGAGAAAGGAAGAAAAAGAAGGGAGGAGGAAGAGGCCAGGAGCCCATCTCTTCCCCTTCCTAACTGTGACCCAGAGGAGGGTCCTTTCCCCATGCCTGAGCTGGCTGTGAGCAGGAGCCGATCCTAGGGCTGCCAAACTCTCCCCAGGACCTGTCAGCACAGCACATGCCCTAGTGGTTCTGTGGGGCCAGGTCAGGACACCTGGGAGAGGCTGAGCATGGCAGCTTCCCTTCGAGATCACCTCCCACAGCTTCACCGGGAGGGATGCAATGAGTCTATTTAGGACTGGGCACTGCCATAGGTCTGTCCTCTTCCACAGCACCAGCGAGCAGCTGCCAGGAGTGTTTTATGCCGTACACACCAGTGGGGTCATCCATGCACCGTGGCACAGCACCGAGGACCCGCACCGACCCCTCTGCCAGAGCCATAACTAACACCCCGCTCCCCTGAGCACAGCTCAAAGCACAGTTGTCCTTTCTAAATGCACCCTGTCATAAAAAAGCTCTCCTTTTGCCCCTTCCAAAATTGCTGAAGCCTGAGGCTCACGCTTACTCCTGGCTCAGTGACAGGGTTAAAATTTGACATCAAGGTTAGAAATGTGACCATTGTGTTGTTGCCTACTCTTCCAGTGAGGCACACATTGGCCTCTTTTTATTTTGGCTGTACTGTGATCTATTTGAAGGTTCCTCAAATGCTTTCTTTATCAACCTCCCTCTTCCTTCGAGCCAGTACCTGGATTTATGGGTGGAAAATATGACAAATGGTTGGATGTATCTGAAAAAAAAAATAAAAAGAACCCTCCAAAACATCTCTGAAATACGCTTTCCGTAAGTTGTGTGGCATAAACTGAATTTATGATGGGCAGAAGCGCAAATAAGATTGTCGGAGCACATCTGTGCTGAAAGGCAGGACGCACCTAACGAATGCAGACTTCACACCTGCAAGAGCAAAACCCCTGACCTGTGGTTCCTCCACGTACACAGACGCGTCCGCAGGTGCCCCTACACAGGCTCCAGCACGCAGAGAGAAGTGCTCAGCAGGCGTGTACCACAGGCTGGGGGGATGAGGGCTGCTGGAAAGCAGAGGAATGTGCCCATGAAGGTCCCTGCCAAGCAGCACCTGGCCAGTGGAGGGGGCGGAAAGTGGCACGTGCCAGGCTGAGAGCGACCGGAGAAGAGAAAAAAAAAAAACAGTCATCTTCCATTGCAGCATCTCTCCTCGGTATTCCAGCTCAGCTGACTGACATGCAAATTAGTTTAATTATTTCTTCTTCTAAAATAAATTATATTTTGCAGTGGCTGCAATATGTTGTGTCAGGCAAAATTACATTCAATATTTTTAAACTAATTGATGTCAGCCTTGAGAAAACCTGATTGACAGCAGCGAGGAAACTAGGCTGCTACCTAAACGCTTTCCTAAATTAAAATTAAACATGCCGTTTTTCTGCATTTCCTCCAGGAGTTGGAATGCTATTAATCTGAAAAGACTGAGGAAAGAGACATGGAAAACACACAGAAGAAGGGGGAGATGCTGGGAACACAGCAGTGCAGTACGGGAGCTCCAGGCTGATGACTGGCAGCTGCCTTTGCCAATATGGGCTGAATTATTTGGGAGCTGCTGGAGCCTGCTGGGGGTGGGAGACAGAGTTCTGCCCACGCTGCAGTGTCTGTACTTTCCTCAATATTACGAACAGAACAGCTTGGGATGAGCAGTGAGCGTGGCCCAGACTCCTGGTGCTGAGGTGCTGCTTGGTGGGAAGCACAGGGATGGGATGGGATGGGATGGGATGGGATGGGATGGGATGGGATGGGATGGGATGGGATGGGATGCACCCTGGCCCTGGAGCAGGATATAGCCATGGTCTTGCCGAATGGTGACACTGAGGACAAGCCTCAAATGCTCCAGCTCAATCTTCATCCGCATCACAAAGTAATTTTTCTTAATTAACTGTGAAAGTAATCTGAACAGTACTATATTCTTGTCTGAAACATTCAGATGCAGAACGCCAACACCTTGCCCTCTCCCTAGGTTCTGGACAGACGTCTGCCTGCAGGACTGACACCAAGAAGCTCTGGGCAACTGCTCTCAAAGGCTGGAATTTTTGCAGCAGAAGCTCATAGTGATGGGAAGGGACCACCGAGATGCTCGGCCACCCCTGCTGTGGCAGGAAAGGAGGGGATCCGTGGTTACCACTGCACTGGGATCCAGTCCTTATACCGCCAGACCCTCCCACAAACTCACAATAAAGCACTTTCCCATTTTTACACCCAAACCTCTACTGTGAAGCTCCAAACCCAGCTATTTCTAAAGCACAGCACTTGCTCTCCTGCCCGCACACGCAGCCACGCTGTGATACCACACGCAGAAAGGTGCTCTGCACCCTTCCTGGGGGCTGAAGCAGGAGCTGAGGAAAGCTCAGAGAACCCTAAATGGCTTTTTGTGGCTGCAGCTCCCAGGGAAACACGGTTCACAAATGCTGTTGGGCGCAGGGTATGACCCACCCTCCTCTGCCTCAAGACCAGATTGGTACAATACTAAATTCAACATTTTCACTTTAGCAGAGAAGCCAGAAAGAGGCAAGAGTGGACTTTAATCCTCATTATCTCAGCAAATTGGGAGAACAAAATGCAGATTAGAAGACTGGGATGGGCCACTCCGCTTTCCAGCGCTTGTGCCACGGCTGCGAAGAACAGGGTGGTTTTTGTGGCTGTCAGGACAGCTGCCCGGCTGCAAAGCGGAGCGCTGATGGCAAGGACAAGGCAGAGGCATGCCAGGGGTACGGCTCTGCCAGGGGTACGGCCCTGCCAGGGGTACAGCTCGTCGCACACAGGCGGCTATGGCAGAGGCTGGAGCTGAAAATGTGGCTCCCAGCTGAGGGGAAGCAAAGTGGAAGCAGCAGTTAAGCCAAGTAACATATAAATGGCTCTCACCTCTCCCGAGTCCTGCCCGGACTCAGCAGCATGAGAGTCATTAAATCGCATCCAAACACAATGCTCTGATTAAAGCCAGTCTCCAGCAGGAAGATTTATCATCTCAATTACCAGCAGTGGACACAGCAGTCAAGGCCTCATCATTTTACATGAGCAAAGAGGAAAACAGGAAGAGAATCGCTAATATTAGCCCAAGGAAGGTAAACAGCTTGCGAGTGAGATGAAGATTTATCTCTGGAAATGATTGGCCTGGTCCCAGGCCAGATTTGCTGAACAGCCCCCATGCTTCCTGCTGGCTGCCAGGTTGCAAGGCCAAATATTCTGCTGGACACCAGCCGTCCGAGGCGGCTCCTGCTGGGAAGTGCCTGTTCTGGGGGGAGACCTGCTCCTCCTCTCTCTTCCCACCAGCAGCACGCAGCCCAGCCAGCCTCAGGTGCAGCCAGGTGCCTTCTGCGGCTTTTCTTACTGCTCCTCAGATGCAAATCCACTCTCTTTGGTTATCTCTAGGTAGAACGTGCAGCAGCGGGTCCCAGATCGGGCTCCCAAAGGTGGGAGGACAACTCTTGTATGGAGCTGCTCAAACCTGACAGACAGAGGCTGCCTGCGGGAAAACAAGTGCAGTCACAGACAAGCTTTCCTTCGGCTGCCATTTGTTAAACCCATCTCAGGACAGTCCTACCAGCAGGCAGGGAGGGCAGCTCAAGGATACTACTGGGAGGCAAGACCTTGGTGTGATGTGCTGCAGGCCACATGTCCATATGTCGCAAGAATTGAGCGGGCACAGCTTCCCACCAGCCCCAAGGGGCACCGGGCATGAGCCCGGGCAGCAGGATGATGCCTGATGGACTCGCTCCTTTCCTTCTGCAAAGTTTGCACCTTCAAAATATTGAAGAATATTTTACCATTTGTCTCCACCGGAGTTGGTAATGTCCTGCCTGGTGGTGCAGCAGACCCTGTGTCGGCCAGATACAACCTGCATGGTCACCACAAACACCGCAGAGCCCTGCCAGCTCCTCCTGGCTCCGGTCACTGGTGTGCCAGGAACTGCCACGTGCCGGGATCTGCCGTGCTGGACACATCGACAACAGCACAGAGCCTCCCAGACGCCCCGTGCTCCAACGCTGATCCCGCTGCGCTGGGCACGACGTGACAGATGCTGCACAGCCCTGCTCCGAAACCCCTCCATCACTCGGAAGGCTGTACCTTTACAACTGCCCTTTCCGCCAGAGGATTCAGACATAAATCGTACTTTAAATTCAATATCAGTCATTAATATTTCATGATTACAAAACGTTAAGGATAATGTCACTGGGAGGGATGTCTGGGCAGTTAAAACAGATGAGTCAGAGCTCACCACGGGAGAAGTCAGAGCGCTGAAGAGTCTCCCCGGGTTTTGAAGCGATCCAGCCTGACAGGCTTCTCTGCCGGAGGGGAGCAGCAGCATTTACTGACTTGTTCTGAAATCCAAGCCGCTGCGTGTAAATATTGTCCTTCTGATTCTTGTCACCTCAAGTTTCCTCTGGATGCTGAGTTGTGCTGCATGGCCGTGATCCCCTCCTCCCTGCTGGCAGAGCCCCCAGACGTGCCACAGCCTGGCAGTGGGCTACCCTCCCTCCGGTGTGGCCAGGCAGTGCTGGCACGCCTGCCCATTGCTGCCTGATGCCGGGCAGGGCTTGTGACAGCACCTCAGCCAGATGGCACAGAGGTCACCCCAGCTGGCAGGCACAAAGCATCATCAGAGAGAGGGGCTTGGGACACGTGGTGGGGTCAGAGATGTCCCCCCGGGGCAGTGTGGGTCTGGCCAGGGATGCTGCTCCCTCCTCTCCTGGCCCTGCCAGAGCGGATGGCTGTCACCACGGTGGGGTGACCCCACAGCAGGAACCCAAGTCAGGCCCTGGCACAGCTCTTTGAATGAGAGCAGCATCTTCCTGCTCAAGAATGAGCAAAGAAATGAGAACCAGAACTCCTGAGGGGTCTGTGGGAATGAAGCCCGGGGAAGGCTCCTGCCCATGACGGACAGGTCTTGGCACACGTCTGCAGATGTCAGAAGGTGCTGTGCAGCCAAAGCAGCTCCCTGCTACCAGCTGCCATGGGGTGGAAGAGCACAGCAGGTCCCAGGCTGCCCTAGCGACTTGCGCATCCAAAATGGGGAAAACTTTGAAGAATATAGCAATGCCTTTCAGCACGGTGCCTGGCATTGAAGCCCTTTCTCTGTCTTCAGGCTTGGAAAAAAGAAGAACATAGAGTACTCCCTGGGGTCCATGGAGGAGATCCACCATGGTCCATGGGGATCTGTGGAGCCCAGGAGCTGAGGCACTGTGCAAACACGATGGAGGGCAGCAGGATATGCCCAGGGCAGGTTCCTACACCTGCAGCTGAGCACCGGCAGGGAAGCAAAGCCTGCCCTTTGCTACTATTATTTTCTTTTAATTCCTCAAGAGGAGTTTATTCAGAGCTCCTTTGAGCAGCAGGGCCCAGGTTTGTTCTTTTTTTTTCCTTAACTGGAGAAGAAAAGACAAACAGAACTTCTGCTGGAAGCATCCGCACCAGGCTCCACCGCCCCCATCACAGAGAGGGAAGATAAACTAACAAAACCTGCAGAGCCACTAAGCTGTTCCCTCCCGGCTCTCCCAGCTGGGTGTGAGCAGATTTGGCAGTTACTGTAAACACAGGCTAAAGGATCGCACAGCCATAAGGGAAGGAAGAGACCATCAGCAGGGCTCTCCTGGGAGGGTCAGGAAGGAGCTAATTTCAGGAGTGGATGAAAGAGCTTCACTTCATCCTTTGCCTGAGACTTTTCCTGGTGTGCTGCAGGGTGAGGCCAAGCACTGCGGCCAGAGGCGAAGCAGCCTGGTGGTACCAGCCCTGGCAGTGTCACCTACCCCTGTCCCCAGCACGGAGGCTCAGGGACACTCTGTCCCCACAACCCCTTCCCACTGCTGCAGTGCTGGGATCACCCATCCACCGCTTTCTGCTCCTTGCCCAGCCTGCAGCCACACCAAGGGCAGGGAGACCAAGGAGGAAGGGCACAGGAGGCATCCAGAGCCACCAACCCCCTGTGCAGGTACAGCCTGCAAATCCCAACCACTGGCAGCCCCCCGTACCACAGGGCTCCAGCTGATGGGGCACCCACCCACAGCACATGGCTGGACCCGGGGGATGCAGGTGACGTGAAGAGAGACCCCCCCGGAGCCCCCAGAGCCACTCAGCAGGTGCAAATGCAGGGAGCGAGCTGCGGAGGGATGACTGGCAGAGCTGGCGCATAGATAACAAATTTGATTAGTGTTCATCAAATATACTATTCGACCATGCTCCCTTATTAATGCTCGAGTCAGGAAGAGTATTTTTAGGTTGTCTAGGGAGATGTCAGACTCAGTGCTGCTGCCTTTTTTTTTTTATAACTTCACTGTTAATTAACACTTGCATCTTGGTCACCTCTGCAGTGAATGCACCCGGTATTTCCCCCTCTGCCCCACACGGATCCAGCACACTCTCTGCTCCCCACAGCACTCCTCCATCTCACCTGCTTCCATCGCCAGGACCGTGATGTTGTGCCACCCTGCTGTCTCCCGGTCCAGGACCTTTCCTGTCACAATGGCACCCGTGTTGGCATCGATGTCAAAGATCCTCTCCGTGTCCGTGCTGCGGTCGATGGCGTACCTGGGAGCAGGCAAAGAGGGAAACTGTGAACAGCTGGATGTGCCAAACCCAACCTCACCATCAGCCCCAGGAGTGTAGGGACCTAACACAACAGGCCCTATATCACCATTCTCACTTTTCCTCTGCTGCAGCACGATACACAAGCACCACATTTCTACCAGGCTGCCAGCCCAGCGCCCTCAAGTAAAATTAAAGTGTGGCTTTTGGTGCATAAAGTGGAACTAAGCACAGACTGTGGACAAGGGGAAAAACCTGCTCTGATGGGAACCTTATGCTGAGGCTAGACAGAGCAATATAGAAATCACGGCCTGTAACTCCACTCTTGAGCCTGGAAAGCTTCTGAGCTATAAATTCAGGAAAAACACCATCCCAAACCAAAGGAGAGCACTCCTGCTTGAGGAGCCCACCTCACCTACCACCCTCTCTCCTGATCCTGCTACAGCCCCCACCCAAGTGAGAGACCTGGAGGACAGTGCAGCAGGACACGGGCAGGCTGTGAGCTGGACCTGCAGAACACCTGAACTGCAGCTACAGCAGCTACGAATGACAAAGTTCTCCCCTGAATCCAAACTGAGCCTGTGCAACTGGAGCCAGAACCCTGGTAGCAAAGGTGGGCAACCACCAGCATCCCCACAATCACCACAGCACACCATTCCCAGCAGTCCTGAGATTCGGGCTTCCCAGTTTCACAGGAGCTGGCTGAAGAGCTCCTCCAGCTCTGACCAGCTCCAGCTGCTCAGTAGAGACCCTTCACACGCAGCTCTCCATCTTCTCCTTCAGCTGCTCCAGTGCTGCCCCAAACAGCCCCCTCCTGGGGCATCCCACCAACAGCCCACCCGCTCCCCGTGCCACCTCTGGAGAGAATGACTCCCACCTCTTCCCAAAGGGCAACACCACAGCTCACGAGCGGAGGAATCAGACACCTGGGTTTATCCCCGAGCCTTAGCCACGACACCACGAGCCCACACAATTAGTCCCAGCGGCACGTCCTGCATTTCCAACCGTTACACACGGAATAAAGCAAGCAAACATTAAATCAGGGCACATTTAGATATCTGCTCCTTGGGGAAGGGACTGGAAGGGAAGCCCGATCCAGCTGAGGCCCTCAAGCACAGCCGCAACACAAATAACAAACACCACCACCGCAATCAGAATTAGAAATCCAGAAGGCCTACAAATCACAAACAATACAGCATAATGTTATTGTGTACAGCATCTTCCATACCCACTGCATCCCAGAGTGCTTTACAGAATTAAATAATACAAGACAGCAAAGAGTACAAAGGATAAATTACCGAAAGGAGGGCTGTGAATAAATTAAAACCTTCAGTCACATGTCCAACAACAGAAGGAAGATAAATGTAGGCACAAAACAAGCTGGAAAGCTGATGAGACAGGACAGTGCTGAGGGGCCATGTCAAACAAGAGGAGCAGAGCAGGACAGGCTCTGGGCTAGAAGCTCATTCTGGATGGTGGAGGTGCTCCGCACACTGCAGGGTGGCTTTCCCAAGTGCTTGCCTCTCGCCTGGCACAGCCCAGCTGTGGAGGATGGGTCCATCATCCACATGGCTCACAGCAGCTCACCTTCTGCATACACGGACGGTCACTCTGCACAGAGGCATCCATGGCCTCCATGCTTTTCCTGTCCCATGCCCTGGGGGGGACCAGCTGCAGATGAGAGTTCCTCCTGAGGGGTACCTCTCCACACAGCCTGGCAGCTCTCTCTTTGATGGAGGCACATACAAAGGCATTTCTACACTGTTTATGTACAGTACCAGATGATGTTCCCTAGCTCCCTTTCAGGGATGGGGGATGAAAAGGATGGGGAGAAAAATACAACAGCAGTTGCTTGTAGTTAAGAAAAAATGTTCAAAAATCACTAAGTTTCACCTGCGCACACGCACGATCCAGCATGTTCCACACCTCTGTGGCTGCTTTCCTCCCCGCTCCTTGCATCTAGAGCCGATGGGAATTTGTCACACAAAGCCAGGTACGAGCTTAGGCATCTCTGAACCAGCTGCCAGGGACTTCCTAGCCTTCCTACATTTTCTGCCCCAACTCCCAGCTGGAAACAGAGCCTCTACAGGCGTGTAGCCAGCTCCAGAAGGGACAATGACACTGTCTTGGCACGTACTGCAGCTTCACATCCACTCATCTTTGCAGCTCGCTCACCGCAAAGGGAAAGGAGAAGTCTGGCCACTGGCTTGTACACATCAGTCCAATGTACTGCTGGAAGGAGGAACAGAAACCGGGATGACACCACCTAATATCTTTCCAGTAGCATAATTGATGCATTTGCATAACTGCTTCCATTGTTCTCCCACATCACCTGACCTCCAACACGTCCTGTTCCTCCATCCCACTTCTAAGTACTGTTAGAGTTCAAGATGGTACTTCACTCTCCATATGTCTTCCCTGCTTCTCGGGTAAGCACACGCCTGTTTTGTTCACACTCATGTCACTGCTGCATAAACAAAGATGCCTGCAAAAAAGTAGCTACACAGAAAAAAAACCAAACCCATTTAATGACGGGAGACATCACTGAGCCTGGAAACATCCGATACCGGCTGCCTGCGTGGCCGGAGGGCAGGAGGCTGGTAGGGGAGCTCTCTGCCTCATGGCACTGGTAACCTTTTCTTATGCTTCTAATTGTTTTGCTGCTAAGGTTGTCTTCTGTCACTTCCAAATTGTCTGCTGAGGACTGACTGCCCATACCCTGTGGCAGGGCACAAGCCAAACCAGAAATCTTATCCCTTTGTCCCCACCGCTCCACAGAGAGCTGCCACCGTCTCAGCGCTGCGCCAGGGCAAGGAGATAAAGCTCTGAGAGTTGCCTGCATTAGCTGTGAAAGCAGGGCTGAGCCTGCTTCTACACACCAGATTTTTGGATGCAGCCAGTCCAGGTAGGTCTGCAGCTCTCCATCTGCACAAAGGGCTATGGAGGCACTGGAGCTCTAGGCTGGCACTGGAGCTGGGGACTGAGAGGGCACAGGGATGTCCATCTGCCCTCCCCCCGCAAACACAGCCATAACTCAACTCAGAGCTGGAGATCAACCTGCTCCATACAGTCCTCCCCTTCCCAGAGCTCATGGCTAACCCCAGCTAGAGCAGCCAGAACGAGAAGCTATCTGCTGTGTGCAGTTTACATTATTTTGTGCGATACGATCTTCACCAACCATAGTCTGTGCTGACCGTCACATGCCTCTCCACCTCAGGTAGTCTAGTTTCATATTTATCCATCCCAGGAAGTCAAATGGTGCTTCTCACCTGGGAAGGTGTAGCATTTAATTCCTGGGTCCTCCAGGTACTCAGAGATAGGACATACACTCGTTCCTCCTAAAGCTGCTGGCGCTCCGTATCTGGAACTGCAGTCCCCAGCTCTGATTGGGATGCGGACCTTGTAATCCATTTTCCTCTCTTCCTGCTGGCACTGCCTGTTGGTTTGGATGTTACAAGTGACTGTTTAATTCAGACAGCTTTCTTGGTGCTCATCTTTCCCGTGAATGCATTTCTCAAGCAGTTTGTTTCACTTCTCCCCCGAATGCAACAAGGAGCACATTTTATGCCATGTGTTTTGTTAATAGGGAGCTTTTCAAACACTGTGTGAAAAGCTTTTTGTTGTGTTTGTTTTTTCCTCCTCTCCCTTTTGTGTTGAAGCAGGTTGTAGTTCTTGCTGTGCTGCCGGAGTCTATAAAATGCCCATGTCCAACACCTGTCTCTGGATTTGGTGAATGCCAAACAAGAATATCTTTGAGAACCTTAAATCCCAAGCAACATCTTCCCAATGCTGATAAAGCCTGGAATGCACACAATCAGAGCACAGGCTCCCACTGCAGAGAGAAAAACAAAAGGCTCCCATACAAACAGGCTCACGTACACAGACAGTCTATCACTGTATTACCTCATACAATGGCTCAGCTGAGAAAAATTGCGCTACGCCCAGGAAACGTACAGCTAAAGCCAAAAAGCCAACTGGAAACTTAATTCTTCCTGAAAAAGACTGATTCCAGCTTTTGTTAGGCAACAAACAGGGATGGAAAAAAATAAAAAGCACCAGTCCTTTAGAAAGGCGTTTCTTGCCTGTACCACAGTGGGTTTTCGTGTTCCCCCCGAGGATGTGCGCAGCCCCTCAGCTGGGGTGGACTTCAGCATGATGTCCTGCTTCACAGCATCAGCACCAGAGGGAGGGTGTCCTGCTGAGCAGCCACAAGCTGGGAGGGTGAGATGGGGTGTTCTTCAGTCACCCTGTGCCCCAACTCCCCTCCCACCCGGGCAAGTGGCTGCCAGGGGCTTTACATCCACGTGCAGCGAGCAGCAGGGAGGTGGGCAGCAAGCAGTGTCTCAGGGATGCTCCTCAGAGGAGTCAGACACCCCTTCAACTCGCATGTCTTCATAACAGGTCACTTTGCAACCCAGCCCGGCCTCACCTGGAAGGGGCTTGTTCTCACCACGAAGTGGCTTCATCCTTGTGGGACCAGTGGATGACCAGGAGGGCAGGGGAGCTCCAGGCTGAAACGTGTCTCCAGCAGCTGCTTCAGGCTGGATGGTGCAGCAGGAGCCACACACCCCTGTCTGCACTGGCCTGGGGATGAAAACAAAGAGCCAAGGGCATCTCCTTTCCCATTTGGCTAAAAATACTTCCCAAACCTCGTTATTGGCAGCCTGGTGTCAGCAGGCCCTGGAAACGCTGACAGAGATGATTTTTGCTCTGCTGTCTCTGGCAATCCTTGTTCTTTCCTGCCTCAAGGGGAGAGTACATCTCATCATGACAGGAGGCTGTGGCTCTCCCCTATTTACAGCACGGAGCCAACCCACAGACCAGAGTGTCCAGGAGACAGCAGCCAGCACAGAACGTCTTTGCTCCCACCTCTGGCAGACAAGGATCAGGAAGTTAAAGGGATCCACTGAACTGCAGCGACTTGAAAGAGTTCATACCAACTTCAAGGAGCTGAAGATCAAATACTGGCCATGCTGTCAGGACCAGTTGCTCTCTCATGTATCCGAGGTGAAGTACAAGTGCTGGCTTCTTCTGACTGTACTTTGGAGTAGCACACTTGAAGTGCGAGGTGACTTACTGCCGGCTCCTGCTGACGGGTTAGTGTCACATCCTGGCAGGGTGCTGCAGGATGCTTGCATTAATGTTTGTGCACCACTTTGAAGCTGTGAACAGTTGCCTACGTGGCAAAGTATTTTTTAAAATTACCTGGAGAGCCAGAGGAGAGGAAAACAGGAGAGAACCAACGGCACCTTCCCTCCTGCATTGGTGCCACGTCGGCGTGACCAGTACAAACCTGCATCTCCACCCGGTGCAGGTTAAGATGGCAGAGAAGCTCACCCACCCACGCTCCTCAGGCAAGCGCCAAGAGAGCATCACAAAAGGACAAACTGCCACTGCTCACGACAGCAGGCACTGCAAGAACAGAGGGGAGTGGAGAGATGGACGGATGGAGACTGAGTGCCACAGGGGAGCAGAGGGGATGTAGCACGGAGCCAACCCACAGACCAGAGTGTCCAGGAGACAGCAGCCAGCACAGAACGTCTTTGCTCCCACCTCTGGCAGACAAGGATCAGGAAGTTAAAGGGATCCACTGAACTGCAGCGACTTGAAAGAGTTCATACCAACTTCAAGGAGCTGAAGATCAAATACTGGCCATGCTGTCAGGACCAGTTGCTCTCTCATGTATCCGAGGTGAAGTACAAGTGCTGGCTTCTTCTGACTGTACTTTGGAGTAGCACACTTGAAGTGCGAGGTGACTTACTGCCGGCTCCTGCTGACGGGTTAGTGTCACATCCTGGCAGGGTGCTGCAGGATGCTTGCATTAATGTTTGTGCACCACTTTGAAGCTGTGAACAGTTGCCTACGTGGCAAAGTATTTTTTAAAATTACCTGGAGAGCCAGAGGAGAGGAAAACAGGAGAGAACCAACGGCACCTTCCCTCCTGCATTGGTGCCACGTCGGCGTGACCAGTACAAACCTGCATCTCCACCCGGTGCAGGTTAAGATGGCAGAGAAGCTCACCCACCCACGCTCCTCAGGCAAGCGCCAAGAGAGCATCACAAAAGGACAAACTGCCACTGCTCACGACAGCAGGCACTGCAAGAACAGAGGGGAGTGGAGAAATGGATGGATGGAGCCCGAGTGCCACAGGGGAGCACAGGGGACGCGGAATGAGGTACCTGCCTGGGGATAGCTGGAGGGAGGACACGTATCTGAATGCATCAGGCCTGACAAAGGAAAACACATGGCAATTCCCAAGCTGCAGCAGATGCCTGGGAGTCCTGTCGGCTGGGGCCTCGTGCCTGAGCACGAGTCATTGCCTTGTCTGGCACTAAGCTTGCTATAAGAGAGACAATCACATAAGAAAGTTTGGGCTCTAACCCTCTTGCTCCTGCTGAGTACTTGAATCTGCTTCTCTCTGCTCCAAGTCCCCATCACCTTCTGCACAGCAGTAGAAAGCCTCCCTCCTCTGCTTTCTTTTGTTCTGTCTGCAAACAATGCAACAAGCTCCACGGGGAAGCAGCACAAAGAACAAGAAAAAATGAGAATAAGAATAGTTCTGTCCCCAAGGCCCCTTTCCTACAATTACAGATCAGAAAATAAAATCTATGTTCTGTAGCACTGCTAGAAACAGCCAAGTGAAAAAGCACATGCACACACGTACACACACACAGAGGTGTGTAGAAAGACCGCACGCGTCTGAAGAGTGCGAGCTAACAGCCACGTGCTCGGGGTGGGCCACAAAGAAAGAAGTCGAGTGTGTAGCCACATGACAAGGTGAGCAAAGAAACTTTGAGAATATGTCCAACAGACAGCACCAACTGGTACAAGTGGTGCAACGCTCACATCGATAGTTCCTGGCACGCCAAGGCTGATTTCATTCACTTTCACCCCAAAGACAACGTTCAGCATCCAGCTTTGCGACACAACGCTCTCTGCTAGCTGCCAGGCATCTGTAGATGGCAGCTTTCCACATGTAAATTCTTTTCTGAGCTTTCTAAACATCTCAATCTTAATTTCCATGCAGATCTGGAGATACCCCTCACCCCACCTTGAACCACCACGTTCCCCGTGGCTGCACAGCACTGGAGCTCAGCACCCCAAAGCCACGTGGGGACATCATCACATGGGATCAATACTGTCACTGAGCCCTCCCTGGCCATGTCCTCCTCCATCCCACATCCCCAACCCTGCTGTGTCCCAGTTTATCGCTGCCTGAGATGGGGTCCCTCCAGAGCTCTCAGATGCAAAGCCACTGCTGCCCGTTTGAAGCCAGCGGCTGCGCACAAGGTGCCCGCAGCCCTGCTGTCACCTGGCATGAGAACACACATTTCAAGGAAATTTTCCACACATCGAGGATGTTTTCTGAACACCAGCTTTCCATCCCAACTGCTCGTGACTCAGGCCAGTTGGCAGAGCCAGAAAGCTGCTTTGTGCCTTAGGTAATAACAATTTAACAAGGTAACAATCTCTTTAGCCACAAATTAAATGGAAATGGGAAATGTCCTGTGCAGATAAGCTGCTGCCTGGATTATGTCCTCTGCCCAAATATAAACTCCTCTGATCTTTGGTCCCTGTGCACACACACACACGCACACACAGCCAAGCTGTGGCTCTGCACCTCCCGAGTCCCACCTCGTTTGTCATCCTTCATCGCTGCCCCCCTGTCATTTCTGGTGGCTCTCCTGCCCTGTGTCAGGCACCACCGCAGGCGCCTCGCTGTCAGCAGCGGGGACTGCAAGCATCACCCTGCCACCTTCCCCGACACTCCCTTGCCATTCACCCATCACTTGCCAGTGAAGCCTCTGTCACCTGTGAGATGGTGTCTGCTGTTTGCCTGTTGCTTGTGCACAGGCTGCCACTCACCTGCCAGCCGCCTGTCCCACAGGACACGCTCACACGTTTGGCCATGCATGCAGCACTTGTCACCTCCATCTGCACTGCCTCTCCTCCTCTGCCACTACCTCCCTTTTGCCCCAGCCATGGCCATGAGATCTCCCCCTCCCCGGCCATGTGTGTCCCCTTCAGGTGACCCCATGCCCACCACTGGAAGGACGATGACGAGGTTTCAGTGGCTGCTTTACCGGACAGGATGGTTTGCTGTGTCCGGGTCAAGGGCGGTGACAATCCCCACGACAGAACCAACAAGCGCGTCCTCCTGGACCTCCATCAGGTTGGAGGGGGGCCGGAACTCGGGGGGCTCATCGACGTCCAGCACCGAGACCCGCACGATGGTCTGGTCCCGGAAGGTGCCCAGGTCCACAAACCGTGGGTCCACGAACTTGTTGAGGGCTTCCACCACAACAGTGTGCACTTTTTTTGACTCGTAGTCGAGAGGCTGGGACAACAGGAGAGGATTAGCCATATCCAGCCCGAGGAGCACCCCCCTGCTGCCTCTTCCTTCACCAGCGACATTGAGGATGGGACTAAAGCCACCTGCTCCCCAGACAGGGGGGCTGGGACCTCTCCTGCCCTCCCACCAGCAGCACCCACACCAAGGGGGGCAGGAGGAAGAAGAAGAAGCCTCCAGCCCACTCCCCCCAGGACGCGCAGGGCACTGGCAGCCAGGATTCACTGGGAAGACAGGACACTGCGTGCTGCAAGTGAGCAGGTTTTGATCATTAATCACCCTGCTATTATTTCTACAGGGGAGGCGAGCAGAATGCAGCAGCCTTGGTGAACAATCATTCTTTCTTGCCTGCGTCAAGTGTTTGCTTGATTGTTTTTGCCACCAAAAGCAGATGCAGTCAAAGGGCTGCTGGTCAGATATAGGAATTAGGTGGGGATATTTCTTCCCTGCCAGGCACTATAGATAAGGGCTGGAAGGACTCATCTCCCTAGCCCTGTGTGCTTCGCCCATGCACACCTCGCTGCTCCACTGCCACCAAGGGAGCCCTGTGAGGCTCCAGCAGGGACCATGCTGATGGTCCTTTCCAGCCTCTCCTCCCAGACACAGAGGCAGGTCTCTCCCTGCACCTGCAGGCACCAAAACGTGACTGCTGCTGCTCAGAGAAGCACTGATTTCAACTCAAATGCAGCAGCGGGAGTCCCCAAAGAAAAGGGAGACCTTTCCTTTGAGATCTGTGCCCTCCCTGCCCAAGCAGCTTTCCTTATCTCTCACCTTCTGTATGGAGATGACAGCCTCTTGGGTATTGCTGTCTGTGGTGACTTTGAACATCTCCACTCCTTCCTCATCCTTCACCTGATATGTCATGTCTGTGTTCTCCCCGACGTCAGAGTCCTCTGCCTTCACCCTCCCGATGGCTGTGCCCACGGGGGCAGTTTCAACAATGCTGAACTGATACATCTCTGGAGGAGAAAAAGGTACTGGCATCACTGCTTCTCCCTTAGAACTCCCTCCAGCCTGAAATGGCCCTTCGCATACCTTCTTGGGGGCACCCTTGGGCAACCCAAACTCTACCAGTGTCTATAGTCCAGAACATCCTACCAGGAGAAACACGTACCCCAGCCAAAAACAAGGGCAGAGGGAAGATAATTGGGGAGCACTGATGTTTCAAGGCACTGGCTGATTTCTCTAAATGGACACTGCCCTACAATCAGTGTTCTCTGATTCTTTGCAAACATTATCATTTCTTCATTTGGGGTGTGTGCTAGAGAAGACACAAGCTTGAGCCACAAGCCAGTAGCAGTGACTCGGAGAACAGAGCTGTGGTGTGTCCAGGTTGCTATCTGTGAGATGGGCAGCTTCACAGTGGGGCAGAGCATGCCAAGCCCTGATGCAGCATCCAGGAGGAGCCAGGCAACCAGGTGAGTCCTTGCCCAAGCTCCCAAGAGACAGACCAGACTGCCTTCTCCCCCAGTACTGCTCAGAGAGGGACCAGGAAAGGGCCAGCTCTGCTCTACCCACCACACAGCCCTACTCACTCCAAGATCTAGCGTTGGGAGCAAGGGTCTTGTCCAGGGCTCTTGACAGGCTGAGACAAAGCTGCTGCCCCTCCATCACGCTGCTAGGCAGGGACACATTCAGACCCAGCAAGGAGCTGTGTGTGCTACAGGACCTTGGTCCTGCTACCCTGCAGGCATGTGCCATGCTGTGCTGGGAGCTGAGCCTCTGTCCCACCACCCACAAGGTGCCAGGACCCTACAAGGCCGATGCTCACTCCCCACCATTGTCAGGACTTACTCTGAGGGAAGCGTGGTGGGTTGTCGTTGACATCAGTGACTACGATGGTGACTGTGGTGGATCCAGACAGGCCACCCAGCTGTCCCGCCATGTCCGTTGCGCGGATCACCACCTCATACCGGTCCTGTGTCTCACGGTCCAGGTCAGCTACGGCTGTCCGGATCACACCTGGAAACCAGCGGGACAGCGTGAGCACAGACAGGTCACAGAACATCCACAGAGTCATGGATGGGGTGAGGCTGGAAGGGGCCACTGGAGACGACCTCATCCAAGCCCAGCTCTAAACAGGATCAGTTACATCTCCCAGCCCCTCCACATGTGGCAGATGCTCCAATACTTCAATCTTCATGGCCCACCCCTGGACTCATTCCGTTATGCCCATATCTCTCATATTTGGCAGCCCAGAACCAGACACAGCACTAACTTCATCTCACCATGGCTGAGTAGAAGGGATAGCTCATCTCCCTCCACCACTGTCTCCTAAGGTAGCCCTAGGTGCTGCTGGCTGCCTTTGCCTCAGGAGAACCTTGCTGGCATCACCACCACAATCTGCTGGGCCCCGGCGCAAAGGGGAGCAAACCCTTCACAGAGATCACATAAGAAAAAGCTGGCTGACAGGAGAAGATGGCTCTGGAGAGAGGAACAAGCCCAGGGGGTTGTCAGCCATGTAGAAACATCCTGAAATTCCCAGGAACAGCCACAGGCCCAACCTGATCCCAGCAAATCTCTGTGGCTGATCCGCAGGTGCGTTTCATGAAAGGTTCCTCACTGCTGCTCCTGCTGTGGGCTGCCAGTAGCTCTGACAGGGCTCACCCCCAGCTCAGAGGAGGTTTGTTCTTCTCTGCAGGGAGGCTGGAGCCTGGGTGAAGGACTGGCAGGGGCCAGAGGACTCACCCAGATGCGGGGGCTGCGCTGGGGCCAGCCTCAAGCTTTGCACAGAAAACTGTGTAAAAGCCCAGGCTGAGTCACAAAACCCCTTTGGCACGAATCTGCAACAGCCCACTTATCCTTATCTGCTCAGGCAGGAGCCAGGCTTGCCTCAGCATTCCCAACAGAACAACCCACAGTGCCAACCTCCATTTCACAGGTGCCCGGTGGCCCAAGCATGCCTGGAGGGTCCCCTATTTGATTTGGAGACTGAGGAGGGGGCAGTGTATTTCCAAAGACTTTCTGCACAAACCCCCTCATTTTCAAGTGTCTCTCTAAGTTAAAAAGACCAGAGATGATCTACACACTCTGTGTCAGGGGCTGAGAATGCTCTAGAGACCATAAAGCTTAACAAAATGTATAGTTGTTAGTACTTTTTATGAAATGAAGTCTCTTAAAGTGTTTCTAGGTCTTCAGTAGTCATCTGGGCTTTGGGGAAATGACCAAAACTAAAACATAAAGGAATGTAAAACAAGAAAACAGAGTAGTAAAACCCAGAAAACATAGTGTATGGCAGAAGTTATGACTTCCCATGTCACACAGGAGTCTTTTATTTACATGGAAACAAAGCAGAGAAGAAATATTTTGAGAATGAAAGAAAGAAATGACTCTGCCCTGAGGTGGCACCAGGGGCACACGTGAGTGCATACATGGATACAAGGTCATTAGCAGCACATTCCCAGTCCCACTACACCAGCAACACCCCAGAGCAGCTAAGAATCAGCTTAAAATCCCCTCCAGCTCAACTTCTTACCATTCTCACAGATTTAGATATTGTTTTCTGTTTTTGTAATTGCTCTCTCTTCCAGGCTTTTCTGTTTAACTATTAGCTTTACCCTCCTCCTACTGTGAACTGCAAAATCCATCTTTACTTTGTTTCACCAGCACTCCTGCCTGGTGGTCAGGAAGATGCTGGAGGGGGGTTGCCTGGCTGGGTGGTGTGGGTCTCCAGCGAGGGAGCTCCTCCCTTGCCAAGCAAACTGCAGAGAATCATCCAGAGTGCTCTGGGAGACAGGCAAGACATTTGCTGACGTGCAACCAACCGAGCAATGGCAGAGCATCGCAGCCGTCCAAGCCACCTGGCTCAGGGCAAACACTTCTGGGAAGGCTTCAGCACAACCTGAGCGCAGTGGAGGGGAGAGGTGGGTGCCAGCAGGCTGTAAGGAGCCACGATGTGGCTTCACCGACATACCCTGAGGCTTCCAAGCATCAGCCTTCCACAGCCAGTGGGTTGCCACAGCTTCCCCCTTCCTGAGAAAGGCTGCGGATGGACGGCTAACACCAAGGAGCCACTGGTGTGATGGTCCAAAGGCAGACAGAAACATCACTGAGCTGGGAGGATGAAATCTCCCCCCGCCTTTGCGTGACATTACAGGTGCAGCAGGAGCTGGCAACACTGTTCTTGGAGACATTTATCTCTCCTTGCTTTCTGAAACTGGCAATTATTCCAACGATTATCATAGTTAGGATTTATTACAAAGGCATAACCACTGTTTCAGATCCCTGTAGCTCCCCAACACTCACGGATAGGCACAATTTTATCCAGCTTCCCTTGTCCCTCTGTCATTTCGGTTCTGTAATTACCTGGACTCCCACTGTCTCCAGCCCCATGAATCAAGAGAAGGCTGTGTCTCACCATCTCTCAAGCACTTCCAGCATCTGCCTGTTTTACACACGTGGGTAACTCTCAGCCCTTCTGTCACTCCATCACCGAGGTCCATGCTCCCAGCCAGCACGCAGGTGAGATGCAGCACAGAGCACCACAGAATTTCTGCCAGGGAGCATCCCAACCCCGCCACAGGAAGACCCCGTGATGGTGCCCAGGGTCTGCACCAGCACCCTTGTTCCTCCTGGGTCTGTTCAGAAGAAGCTGTTTGACCAGGAGTCCCACCCCAGCCCATGCAGCGGGGCTGAGGGGGCACCAAATGCACCTCCAGGCACATGTCCCATCACGACCTGCAGCTTCCTGACCAAGAGCAGACAGGATTGGCCTTGCACAGGCACCATTTCCCCAGGGCTGCACGGGACTGGCCTCAGCCGGTCGTGCTTATGGGCCTCTCCTGCCTCTCCACTATGAATACAAAGCCGTTATTTCTGGGCAAGCACTATCTCATTGAAATTTAAGCAATTCTGTTAATTAACAGGGTCTGAAGCATTTTATAATGAAAATGATTCATGTCAGCACAATAGTGATGAATTGGGATGAGAGGGAAAAAGCTCATGCATTCACCAGAGCTGTAATGACTTAACTGAGCTGCTCGTAATGATATAGCTCATAATACGCCATGCAAGATGGGAGGAAAGTGCTCAGGCGCTTCCCAGAACAACTCCAAGGTCACCCATCCCAGCAAAGGAGCAAGTCCAGGCCATTTGGCACGTGCAGGACAGACAAACGGCCCCAGCCAGCTCCGATTCTCCCCGTGGCACGAGGCAGAGAAAATCCTTGTCTGTGCCGGGGGTGCAGACTGTGAGCAGAAACCACCTCCTGCCAAGATGCGTTGCTGCTTGTCCGGTGCATCCTGGAAAAGCAGGGCGCTGATGCAGATGACCTGTCCCCTTGGCCCTGGCCTCCAAGAGCCCCAGGTGGATTGTCACTGAGAAAGCTGTTCTCCCAGAAGCTGCATGGGCCATGCCAGGCTGGTTTTGTCCTTTAGGATGAGGTACCCCTTACCATTTGCTAGTGGCCCTCACAAATCAGGGTCTCCAAACACACTTCATGCCAGTTCCTTCAATATGGCACTTTGAGTGCTGCCATAAACACCCACCAGCAGTAAACTTGCATGGTGCCATCTCCTAGAGTCAGGACAGCCCCTGCTCTCAAAACCTGATCCCCAGGGACTCTGCAAAAGCAGGAGCAAGTGATGGTGGCAGACCTGTTCTCAGGGCACAGAGACCTCCACTGCTGCACGTAGAACGTGGAAAACTCCTCACTATCGTCTCCCAAGATTCACCTTCTTTCCAACCAGAAAAACTGGCAAACTTTGTCCTTCTGCTAACAAAGCAAGAACAACCTCTAGCTCGGACTCATCTCCCTAGTTCTTGTCAGCATCTGTTATAGTTGAATAATACAGACACATGGTGGCATACCCTCTGGTACAAGGCACATGTGGCTTTCCAGCATGATCCAGATTAATCAGTATAATTACCAGACAAGCGGACACTTTCAGCATCACATAAATACCATCAAATCTGCTCAAACAGCAGACATTCTTTGGGTGATAAAAACAAAGCAGGACAAAGCACTCAGCAGGTAACTGCCCTCCAGGAATCCCACCATTATGGGCTTTGCTCTGCAGTTAGATACTTCCAGCTCAGATGTCCACATCCTCAGAGACCCTCTGGACAAGGCACCTTCCAGCTGAGCGCAGTCAGGAGCAGCACTCTCCCTGCCAAGATTATTGGTTTGTGGTGGGGTGTAGTGTAGTGTGTGGGGTTGTGGGTGTGGGGTTTAGTTGGTGGGTGGTGGTTTTGGGTTTGTTGTTTTTGTGGTGGTTTTTTTTGTGGGGTTTGTTTTGTTTTGTTTTTTTTAATGTGGTTGGACTCGATGATCTCGGAGGTCCCTTCCAACCACTAAGATTCTGTGATTCTGTGTAATAAGAGCAACCACCTTAAATAAGTGTGGCTTCTCAGCAGACTCTCGTGACTCATGCTGAGTCCCTTGTCCCTGTATACAACTTTGGTGAATAAGCTTTTGGGCCAGGGCAAAGACCTGCATAAACCCTTGCACACACAAAACCACACATGTATCGATATCTGTGCTTCCAGGCACTCAGCATTTTTAACAAACTGGCAAGAGCCGTGGAGAAATATGTTCTGCCTCCCACCCCCGCATCACCCAACCCAACAGTTCATCAGCCCCATTCAGCCTGTGGTATGTTCCCAGTAACAACTCCTCTCCCAGTCTACCCCTGCTACCCCAGGACCAGGGCTGTGGTTGGTCTCCAAACAGGGCGAGGCTGACAGGTAAGGATGAAACAACTAATGACTGCACACAAACGACCATCAGCTTCATCCCACCAGGCCAATATTTCTTGTCCTGCTCTCCCTGGCACAAGCACGCCTAAGCCCTCACCAGCTAAGTCTCCAAATCAGGAGACAGGCTCTGGAAGTCAGGAGCTGTTTCAAGTAATCACAAATGCCAGGCTGCATTTCAATTAGCCTTCTGAATCCTTCTGCCTTTTCCCTGCATGGGGAAGAATGACAGATTTTAAGAACAAGCTCTTCCTTTTGGTAAAAAGCGAGATTCCCATAAACTCTCCCGAGCTGACAAGCTGGGCTTTTAGGAAAGCAGCAACTATCAAGAGGCCTATGATGTTACCTGCTGCGATTGTTCTGTAGCAGTCAATTTCCCTGCGAAGGGATGCACAAGACTGCTGGAGCCCAGAGCACCAGGTTATGTCTTCCCTTCTGGGTGTCGAGTATTTCCAGGTTTCCTCCTGGGGCTGTGGGCAGGGATCGCAGGCAGCGGCGACTCTCCAGCCACACTGGCCAGAGATAAGAAAGGGCATGGCAAAGAGCACAGGAAGAGACAGGAGCAGGCAGGCACAGCTGCCTGACGACGAAAAGCTTTGCCCCATAAAGGTGAATAATCTGCAAAGGCGCAGAACGTGCAAGATGATATAAAGCAACATGAAAATTTGGCCTGCAAATTTAAATGCACACTGAATTCCCCTCTCACGTAAACGCACCGGGAGTCACACACTCTCTGTGCTCATCTCATCATCTGAAAAATGTAAGTTAGAAGGATCCTGGTGAGGATAGGTTTCCTCACCTCACCTCCTAGAGCTGTAATAGGAACTAGCATCAAACCTCCCAATCTGTGTCCTGCTGGGCAAAGCCAGGGCTCGTGGCCCCTGCAGTCACCAGCCTGCCCCAGAGCCTGCTGCAGGGGAGAGGGGCTTCTGCAGTTGGACTAAAGCACACTCACCCCCACAGCAGAAGTGGCTGTTCCCCAACAGAAGCAACAAAGCACACGTATGTGCCGATACCGTGAAAGCCACGAAACAGTGGGATGCTACAAAGAGCAGCCAAAGATCAGCTGCACCCTGTCTGCGAACGGAGAATGAGCGAGGAAGGCAGCACAAAGCCTGAATATGACTGTTGCCCGCAGGCTCTTGCAAGGAGCCTAGGGGATATTATCATAGCTGGCACAGAAAATCATGCTTCCAAAGTTTATGTATACAAAGCTCCCCACTCACACACCAAAAAAGTCAGCCTGGACCTTCAACACACGCAGGGTAAGTTCTGGGATCTGATTTGAGGTCCAGAACACAAACGAATGGACAGTTTCAGCATCTGAAAGTTAGTTCTCAAAGCACAAAAGGCAGTGGCTGGTGTACATGAAAGAAAGAAAAGCTCATACGTATCAGCTGTGCTTTTTCCCCACCATCATTCCACACTGGAAACCATAATCATTCTCCACAGCTTTGTGAACACCAGCAAATGCCATACTGCAGCTCCCACCCTTCCAGAGGGGGCACTTAATTGCCTTCAAAGGGTCCATCGAATTCAAACCCCCAGCCAAATACTACAGCCAATAGCATCCAAGAACAGGGGACAAAATAAGCAACCTACACATGGCCCACATCCTGTCCTACAGTGTGCAAACCCCACTTGTACATGCAACATCTATAGTGTGAAGGACAGTGCAAAAAGAGCTGGTTGTAAAGACAAGGAAGGGAAAACCCGCGCTGGAAGGAGTCAAGGGCTGGTGTGCAAGGGAGCACGAGCAAGTGTGGACCCACAAGGAAAGGTGAAGGAGGAGGTCAAAACCAAAAAGGGAAAACAAATTGTTCTTCATTACCATATATTATAAAAAATGTAGCACGCCAGGTTTTTATGGTTCTTTTTATGGCCATTAATAACAATGGTGGCTCTGAGAGTTATGCTGCTGCTATGGATAATTAAATCTTATGCTCAGGGCAGAAGCTGGGCCACCCAAGGCAGTCAGACCAAGACTCCCATGTGGAGCATGAAAAACCTATTCAAGTGCAGAGTGCGAGCAGGGTGGGCTTTGCTTGGGTGGGTGTGCTGGCTCCTGGCCAGTATCAAAGAGACATCTTAAGTGGCTGATGGGGCAGAGCTGCTCACTGCATTGCTAGAGCCCAGGCGAGGCAGCTACAAAAGGCTATTTGCAGCTCAGACATCAACAAAGAGTCAGCCCCAGCACCTGTTTGAGTGAGCAAGCAGATATTCTGGAAACAGACATGCTCAAGAAGGGCTGAGGACTCTTCTGCAGACTGTCAGCAGTTTTGCTTTTATGAATCACAAGGAGGTAGAACAGTAAATCAACCCCCTCAGTGCATGAAACAACCAGCTTGAGAATTAAAACACAAAAAGTCAAGGAATCAAGAAGCTTGGATTCCCAGAGTGACATTAATTCTCACCGCAGTCCCACAGGGCACATTTTAGTTTATGCCTTAATACAGAGCATTAATGTTGTTGCAGGAAGCTGAGCCTCTGCACGTCCTGGCTTGTGCGTTTTGCTCCCAGTGGTCCCTCTTCATTCCAGCAGCCAAGGCTTCCACAAAGCTGACTCAGACTAACAGGATCTCTTACACACCTGAATTTTCAGTGCTTGGCCCCTTGTTTATCCATCTTCTCCCTTTCACCTGCCCCCCTCTCCCCCCTGCCAGTAAAACAAGGCAAATCTGGGAGAGAAGACAGCCCAGGTGCAGCAGCTCCTGCGTCAGGAGTGGGTACAGCCCCAAACTGCTGCTTGAGCACTCTCCCCACTGCACCAGCCTCTCTCCAGGCAGTGGCATTTTCCACTACACATCCCAGTCCTGCTGTCAGGTGTGCTTCAGAGCTACCAAATTTGAGGTTTCCTCCAATGGTACCAGGGCTGGTGGCACAGTCAGGGCTGGGACTGCCTTGCCCACGCAGACCAGACGGATTCTCGGGAGGTACATGGTTTCACAAGGATGCTGTGGCTCAGGCTCTCCTTACACTCTCCTCACGCCAGAGCCTCCCAACCCATTTCTACTCTGACTTGCATAAAAACAGCCTTAGAAAATGAGCCTGACAGAGACTTGGCACTTCAGCCCCGGGGTTGAGCTCAGCCTGTGTCGCTGCGGTTCAGCAAGGGGGTGGGGGGGAAATCTGCTGTCCAGCTTTCCAACAGAGCTGCAGCTACCCAGCCTGCCTGTCCTTTGACAATTTTTCATTACACTGTGGGTACTTTACTGCATGCTTTGTGCCTTAAATACCTCTTATTAGCATTTGAGTGTCTTCCCTCCTTAGAAAGCTTGCAAGGCTCCCATTAAGGGTAATGAGAGTCACACTCCTGGGAGGCAAGGAGAATATATACCCCAACATCTCCTAGTTATGGTCTACTCTAACCAGTATGTCAGAGCATCATCTGCTAGGGATTTATTACAGAGGCATTTTACAACAGGCTCTATTATAAGTTATTAAGGAATGGAGCAGCTTCTACTGTTCTTTCATTAAATATTAATAGAACATTTATAAACCGATCCTTAATTTAAAGTGTTACCTTTAATCAAAACCCTGGTGATAACAATGCAGTCTTTGGTAAGGCCCCTCTGGTAGTACTTAAACCTTTCACACTGACATTTTATGTGCCTGGGGGTGCACTCGTGCTCTGGGCACAGAGCTGGCAACTGCAGGGCTTGTTCCACACCACTGCGGGCACTGCGGGGAGCCGGGCACCAGCCTGCAGGGCTGCCCAGCCTCCTCTCCAACACCCAGCAATGCCCATGGCACGGGGATCCCAGCACAGGACAGATGGAGGACATGTGGCCATGGTCTAGTCTCCTTATGTTCAGCCCATCTGGGTGCTGCTCACCTGTTTTACTGTCCACAGTGAAGTGCTGCTCGCCCTCCAGCACGCTGTAGACTACCCGGGCGCTGCTCCCGTACGTGGGGTCATCAGCGTCAGACGCCATCACCTGCATCACGGAGGTGCCTGCAGCAGGGACAAGGAGGGAAAGAAGAAGTCAGGGAGGAGGTGAGAAGAGCAACGCAAACCTCAGAGCCAAGGGCTGGCAGAAGGGGAGAGCAGGGGCCAACACTGATCTTGCACATGCTGATGGGAAGGAGAACAGTAGGGTGCAAACGCAAGATTGCCTCCCCTCCAAGGCCTGAGCCAGGACTCCAGACTGCTGCCAGTGTCCCTTTTTGTCCTGCAGAGTGGCAGGAGAGACCAGACCTTGGGCCACCTTGGGGCTGCTGTCTAGGCAGGACCTGCTCTCCAGGAGATCACTGGTCTGAACTGGGAGCTTTTCTCCCAGCAAGACCATCTGCTGGACCACCTGGGAAGGAGCTGGGGATGAGATGTTATCACCACTGCTGCCCCTTTCCTGTCACCACCAAGCAACACAGTCACCTCCAGCCCGTAGAGGGATGTCCCAGCCAGGGTCTGATCCATGCTGCAGCACGTCTCTGCAGCTGACAGACCTGCAGAGGGATGACAGCCACGGGAGAGGAAAGGCTTTTTGCTTGCCCAGAGCCAGACACAGCACCACGTCCTCATGCTCTACACGTAGCAGGGCAGGAGGACTATAAATTGGATAAAAGTCCATCAAATGTCTGCAATTAAGTTATTGATTTTCAACACTGCCTCATTAAACTGGGTGCTTCACTCCAACTGCCCCTGTGATGGCTTTAATTTGACATCATGTTCAATTTGACAAAAGCAGGACCCGGGACATGAGAACAGGCCCGGGAGCAAAGGGGCCGAGATCTACAGAGACAACAGGAGGGAGGAAGGAGGGGAAACCTAATGCTACCTACAGACACCTCTGAGAAAGGAGACGGTGTGACCAGAGACCTGTGAGGGTGGGCTACCCAGTTCCACTTCTAGACCAGTCTCAGAGCATCTCCGCCCTAGAGGTCAAGCACCAGTCACCTCTCTGGTTCCCACGACACAGTGGGCAGAAACGGACCTGGTGTCTTCCTCTCCCCTTCTCAGGAGACCACAAGTCCAGCCTGGAATTCCACGCCAGCCCAGCCTGGACTTTGGCAGGAGACAAGACAGCGGAGATACAATGCTGCTGCAAGCCGCTGGGACGCACACGTTCCCTCCTAGTCCAGTTCATGTCAGTTCTCCTGGAAAGGGTGTTCACTGAAGAAAATGAGCAGTTACCATGGTTGCTTTTCATTCTCCCATGCCATCTCCTCAGAGCTGCAGCTCTGCTGATAACATGAGAATCCCCCTCATCGGTCTTCAGCAGCAAGCCAGTTCCAGTCGACGTGTTTATGCTTCGCTGTCTCCAGTGAAGTTATGGTGCGTCCCTGCCAGGCACGTCCAGATTACACCACAGCAACACGAGCTCCCTGACTTGCAAACAACTGTTTAAGATCTACTATTGCCTCCTTTTCTTTGAAGGGCCTGTCCTGCCTCCTTCTCCTCCTTCCCCTGCCTGCCATCACACGACTCCTTCACCGGGAACGAGCCAAGGCAGATCACCCCCACTCCAAGAGCTGCTTGCTCTTGCCCGGGCACCTCAGAGGCAAAGGATTAGGAGACCCCAAACTCACCCACATGTACATGAGCCCATCAGAGTTTGTTGGTCTGCACTTGCCCTGTATACAGTACAACCTGCGTCGGGGCTGCGTGCGTGCAGACAGACCGAGTGCCCCACAACCCTCTGTCCCAGCTATGGCAGTGGTGTCACCCCACAGGTGCCAGCCCAGTGATCATTAAAGAGGGGAGCTACCCACTAAAAGTTTGCATCAGGCCCTGCATCTCATGCTGCTTCTCCCCAGATGTGTTCACTCAATCACATAATTCGCCTCCTAATCCATCCCTGTCAGACAAACAGTTCCACTCCTTGTGTTCCAGTATTTACCCGAATACTGCAAAACCGCATCACTGCCAAAATCCAGTGGGAAGGCAGGATCCATGCCCACCCAGAGGTGGGTTTTACCAAAATATGGCTCTGTTTTAAGCCATATTCTAGGCAATCCAGGCATGTTGCTGCTCCCAGTTCTCCTGTGCCAGCACAAGAGACTCCTGGCCACAGGGCTACCTCCAGCTCCTGAGCACTTCCAAGTGCTGGATCAGCAGGGCTGCGGGGTGGCAGATCCAGGCTGCCGGGTGCCAGGTGTGAGCCCATGTTTGGGACCAGCACTTTTGCCTATAGTGCAAGAGGACACCAAGCAGCATGAGGAGCATTGCAGCAAGACCACGCTGAAGCCAGCAAACCTGAAGGTGATGAAGGCTCTGCCTTCCCTACCTGCTCTCACAGCATCTCGTTTACAGATGAGCAACAACACGCAGGTGAGGAACATGAACCTCACTTTGTGCCTTGACTTCTAGTGTTCAAAGATGCAGTGCAGCCTGCTCAAGGTCACCTATAGGACACCAGGAATCTAGGAGTCCAACATTCCAACATCCTCTCTTAACCCCTATTTGTCCCATTTCCACCCTTCCCTCTTCCTCTCCTTCAATCTGAAGAACAAACATCTGGAATTCCAGTTTAACCTGATCCCTTCCTTCCTGCGGAGACAAGCATCAGAATAGGAACACTGGCTCCCACCCCTGCTCTGATCTTAGTGCCTGCTCTCTGAGCATAGCACTGCCCACAGCACGTACAGCGTGTACGACTTTTATTTAGCTTTTTGGCATGTGCCTTAGCCATAAAAGACATGATAAATAACACCTAAACATCCATCATGTACCATATAACCCACCTCCCGTAACCAGGAAGCCTCAATTCATATTCAGAGAGATAATTAGACATGTAAAATGAGATAAAGACCTCGTTCCTCCCCTGGCCAGCTCACACCACAGAAAACCAACAATTTTACATAAAAATTAATGACTCAGAGTCCATCTCCTACTCTCCTACTGCAGAGGTGTGATCTGGCACAGCAGGTCAAACAAATTGTGTTTCCCCCCCCAGAGGAAAGTGGGGCCAAGATCCCGACTTCTGGAGCAATCCTCCCCCACAGCCCGTGTGGGGGCTGCAGGAGGGGACACAGCCCCTGGCCACCAGCCATCCTCCAAGCTCTACAGGCCCTGGAGATGTGCCAGGGACATCAGCCAGCCCTTGACTCCGCAAGCCCAGGGAGATTAATCCCATCTCCCCTGCGCCCAGCCGGGATCAGCAGCGCAGAGAGGGGCTGCCAGCACCCAGCACCAAAAGGTGCCTGGTGATGTCCCTCAGGAGCTGGTGGGATCAAGGAAGGGTTTGCTGTGGCCATGAGCATCCCCGCTCAGTTGGTGTCAGTGTCCTGCTGTGCAGATCGGCCCTCGAGGACAGGGCTCCACAGGTCCTGGGGTCTGCAGAGCATCTTTGAAATCCCGACGCAGACCTGACCGAGTATCCATCACCACCTCCTCCGAAGGACCCAGGGCCCCGGGGACAGTTTCAGCCACGCAGGGAGGTGCCATCCGCCCACACACAGGCGGCTAATGGCTCCAGACCACTTACTATGCCACTCACTCCAAACACGTTTAGCTAAAATAAATCTCGACAGGCAAACTCCAAACACATCCAAGAGTAAAGAGGCCCTGCACTGAATCCACAAGCAAGTCGACGGGACCTGTCACTTCCCCAGGGACAGAAATACAGCCAGGATCCAGGCCTGCAGAGAGGCAAAGAGCAGGAAAAGCCGACACTTCCTAAATTTGACCATCCCTCCTCATGGCAGCCTTCACCCCTTCCCTGCTGCAGCCAGGAACCTCCAGCAGCATTCCAGACCAGCTCCAGGGCTGCATACAACACCTCCAGCTCAGGCTGAGCCCAAAGGAGAACCTTCTCCCCATGCTCAGAGCACTCCTCTGTGCAGATGCAGTGAGCTCTGGGACAGCACAGGGTCCTCTCAGCCCTGCAGAATATAAAAGCCCCCCCCCCCCAGAGGAGGGCTTTGTCATGCAAAGCCATAAGCCCTGGGCTGATGCCAGGGTGCAGCACTCCCACCGTAGGGACCTGGCTGCTGGGGGTGGTGGCAGGGGAGTGAGGCAGCTGAGATTTTTCTAAACGATGCAATTTGCAGCTTTCCTCTTGCCCCAGTGCATGCAGTGGCTGATGCACCCCAGAAGCAAGCAGGCAGGGCACCAGGGAAGTAAATAAACCAGAGGAGCTTAAGAATTATTGGAGCAGAAGTGACTTCCTTGCAATCTCAGGAACATCCTTACTTGGTAGGAAGCCAAATCCGACCCAGAGGAGATTCACTGCAGAGCCCTCGCCTCCCGCAGGACAAGCCCGAGGGAGCCAACCTGGCTGTGGTGGAATGGCTCAGACGTACAACTCTGGAAAGGTCCTTTGGGGTGTCTGGCCAGAAGGCACCCCAGCCCCTGGCACCAAGCAGATAAACGTGGTGTCTTGGGGAGTAACCCAAAGCATTAAATCAAGGGGGCACAGGTTCCCCCAAGGGTCTTGGCACAGGCAGACGGGATGTAGAGAGGGTGCAGCAGATGCTCAGCTGCTCAGGGCAGAGGGCTCAGAGCCTGCACGGTGACCAAGAGTGCAGTGTGAAGGTGTAGTCCCACTGAGGACCAAGAGACAGGGCAAGCCCCAGCTCCCAGCTACTTGCTGCCCAGCACCTTCCAGATGCACACATGTGTTTTGAGCACTTTCTTATCAAGGAAATAAAAAAATCAGACTGCCCGCAAGCGTTCTGGCTGCATGTTAAACAACATATTTTTCTCTGCTTCCAGCACAGAGATTAAACCATTTCTCTTCACAATAATCACTTCTGCATTCAGTCAGCTTTGTGCTAGAGTCAGGGCTTGACCCCAAGTTTCTGTCTGCACAGACAAATCGTCTCTAATCTGGACTTGGTGCTACACAGAGAAATAAGGAGAGCAAGGGAGGAGCGATGTTCTGACCAAAGGATGCACATTTCCTCGCGTGTTCCTCACTCCAGGCTCCTCAAGCTCCCCAGACAGCCCAGAAGCGAGCTCTGGGCTGTAACACCCACTCTGTGCAACCCGCGGAGCCGTCTGGCAGGAGACAAGGTGTGCTGGAGTTGGGCTCGTGCCCGTGTGCGGCAGACGGCTGCTCGGCAGACCCCAGGGAGCTCAGGAAGGGAGCCCAAAACACAGCTAATTTTAGCATCTCCTCTTACAAGGTGAAGCTCCTGCAGTTCCCAGGCAGTTGGCTGGGTCCCATCCTACTTTCTCCTGCTGCTCCAGGTCTCTTCCTTTGGGGCTAGACCCTGCTCAACTGAGTCATTTCGGAGTGATTTTCACTGGGGTACCCGGGCAGATGCGGAGCCTCAGGTGCCAGTGGAGAGCATCTGCAAGCTCTGAGCCCACAGATTCCTCTTGAGGTGATGGGACAGCATTCAGGCTACAGGGGGGTCTGCAGCTCAGGGCCCATCCTGCAGGCAGACCGGTCCTTGGATGCTGAGCAGGGATAGCCCCCTGCCCCACCATGGCTCCAGCTGCCTTCCCTGCCAGGGTCACCCAGCACCAGGTCAGACCTGCCTCCCAATGGCCACACTGGATGGCTCTGCGCCCTGCTGTCTGCGAAATAGTCCTCAGCAGCTGTGACAGTTCTCCCGATGCCCCAGCAGCCCCCAAGCAGGTGAGGTTTCTGGAGACAAGCCATTTGAAGCCTGCTCTTGCAGCTGGTCCTGCCGTGCCAAGGGAGCCCAGGTAAAACTTCCATTTTGGATGTGTTTCCTCCAAGTGCAGGAGCTCGGTGCCAGCCTCAGGTCTGTGCTGTGTGTGTAGAAAACACTGACTTCTCCAGGGGCACAGCACATGCTCAGCGTGGCTCCATGGGCTGGGGTTAGCTCCAAGCACCCACTCTGTCCCTTACAAATCCCAAATTCCAGCCTTACCTTCCTGACCATCTTGCATCTGCCATTTTAAATCCACCAGATAGGAATAGCAACCCCTTTTCCTTTCTCTTTACAGAGGTTTACAGTAAGTCTGGATGAGTTCATGGTGAAGTTGACTAAACCCATGGAAACCACCCACAGTTGCAAAAATCCCCAGGCTGAAACTGGCTGCTGTCTGGGAGAGTATTAAGAGGAGCATCACACATGTGTGCTGTTCCTCCTTCTCCATAAGCAACCACTTTGGCCTCTGTCTGGACAAGATCCTGGAACAAAGAGACCTTCAGTCCACCCTGACATAGTGCTCCTGTCCCCGGCAGCACGTATGTTGTCACCACCAAAAGGTGCTGCCCTAGCGCAGAGCAAGGGGCAGGTGTGTCGCAAAGCCCTCTCAGCCACTCAGTGAGAGCTTGTGCAGTTCTCTCATTTGTTATTCCCTCTTAGACACTAGGAAATCAAATGACTTTCCCTCCCAATTAGTACTCCTTCATTATGCAAATAATGTCCTTTGATCTGCTCCTGCTGTCAGAGAGCGGATCTGACCGTATTTGTTTTATCCCTCTTTACGCCCCAGGAAGGTACCCACCCTCTGGGAGCTGGGACTCTGCTTTGGCAGGGAACGAGGAGCTGGTGGCTGATGGCTGCCACCAGTGAGGAGAAAAACCACCCACTCGGGCAGCCCCAACCACAAACCCCAGCAAGGTCTGGGAAGGCAGGAGCTGAGAGGAGGAAGAAGGGGGTCACCCTTCACTTCTCAGGTTGAGCCGCAGAGCAAAGGCTGTCAGAGCAGCAGAGACAGGGAATCAGAAGAGAACAGGTCCCTGCAAACAGGCTCCAAGCTGGAGAACATCCCTGCCCCCTGGGGTGGGCACATCCCAGCCCTTTCCCCAGCAGAGAGCACGGCTGAACTGATGATCCAGGAAAATATCTGCACCCAAACGGAGCTGAGACCAGACATGTTCCCCAGCAGGTCCCCAGGCTGTGACCTTGATCTGGAGGTATTAATAGCCAACCTGAGCTCTCCCCAGGCTGCCCAGCCTTCCTACCCCTGCCTGGCCAGGAGAGAGGGTCACCCCATCCCCATTCAGGAAGGCAGCAAGGCATGCTCCCCATTCACTCATATGAGAATATCCCTCAGGTCTAGGGAGATTATCTGTCCAGCTCAGAGACATCACTACCAATACCAACCACAAAAACAAACAGGGCCTGGTAGGGTATTTCCCCAAAAAAAGTCCTGAACTTTACCTCCCTGGCCCAGGCAGCATCCCATGTCCTGCATCCTCAGCCCTTCCTACAGCGGCTGGAGCTGAACTTCACACACCAGCGCCATCTCCCTCTGTGTCCATACCAAGGTCACAGTGAAGGAGCAGGGCAGCTGCTGAACCACAGAGGGTGGAGAAGAAAGCCATTTCTCAGGCTGCCTTGTTTATGCTTTCACAGGATGTGTCCATCCTGTCCTTTGTGCTACCTGTTCCTGGCCAAAGCACTGGAAAGCTGAGGGAGAACCACGAGGGAGCTGGGGACCTGCAGCAGCAGCTGGGCCATCTCCAGGGCTCCGCTGCTACAGAGCCCTTATGCTCCCTGGCATGGCCAGGCTACTGAGAGCTCCAAGGTTGTCACAGGCAGAGGGACATCAGCTGGGTAAGCAGAACTGCTCTTTGCTCCAGCTCCCCTCTCTGTGCATGCAGCTTGGAAGCACAGCCCACGCCGTTCACAGCACTCCTCTTTACTTTTAACTTCTGAGTATATTAATTTGCAGGAATCGCCTCCTTTCATGTTGTGAAACCGTGTTTCTTTCTCCCTCTGATCTCCAATTTCGCATAGAAACTGTCTCCTTTGATATGCCTTGTTCACATCAGTCTGATCAGGCAGCTCCATAATTGTTAGTGATTTTCAAAGAATTGGGATCCTTGTCTAATACTCAGAGTTGAGAATTCCTTCCTTTTTAAATGTTGTTCAAGCAAAATAGATTAATTTAATTTCTTTCTTCCCTTTGGGAACAGGATGCCTCCTGCTTTGCTGCCCACATGCTGCCTTTTATTTCTCCTGGAGCACATGGCTGTAGTTCACAGGGTCACTCTCTGACTCAGGAAAGGATTTATGCAGGTAAATGGAAGAGGAAGGAGAGCTCAGGATGACTCAGGAGAGCTTGTTCTCCATCCATCACCAGAAATCCAGGCAGCAGCAGCAATTCCTGCACATCTGTACCTGCTGGAGGCCATGCACTGGTCTCACAATATGCTGCACATTAACCACCGAGAGAGAAAGCTCTGTCCTGAGGCAGCACAGAACTGAGGACTCGGTTCCTGGATGCCTCTTCAGCCAGACCTTCCTGCACACACAGGACCTGCTTGTTCCCCAACCTGCTGACACCTTGTGTGGCTCAGCCCCGGACCCCCAGGTCCTCTCCCTCGCGGAGCTCACTGCCTTCTTGGCACTGTCACTCTCATCCCTTGCTGACTCATCCCTTGCTGACAGCGTTGGGGACCTGCCTTATCTTTGATGTCACTCAGTCTTTCACAGGCTGGCTTCTACCTGGATGCAGCCTTTGGAGAGCAGTGATTTATCGTTCCCTGCCCGCAGCGCACGCCGGCACGTGCGGTCTGCTACATGCTCTGGGCTAGTCAATGGGGGATAACTGATAGCCCGACGTGGACGGGGGACTGGTGTGACATTCTGGGCACTGCAGGAAGCCAGCTACTCTGCCTGGACTTGAGCTGTGCTCAGCAGCACAGGAACCCACCATCAGGCCAGCACATGGGGCAAGGGCAGCTCATGCATCGCCTTCCCTCCACACCTCCTGATGCTCAGGGGAACACAAGGCTCTCTGTCCCCCTCCACCCTCCCCAGGGGATGGACTCACACAGCCTCGTGGCACACGTCCCAGCGAGGCTGATTGCCAACGGACTCAGAGATGCCTGGTGGGAAGGGGATGGGCAGGCTGACGGTAACATGGGGAAGCCACACTCCTGTCACAGGGGACATGAATTCCTTAATCTCAGTCAAAATCTGCTCTCTCGGAGCAAGGTCAGAAGGCAGGGGAGGGGCTCGGCAGCACTGCATGGGGGTGCACAAGGGGATGGCTGGGCAGCTGTGGGGCTCTGGAGAGCAGCAGAGCAGCAGCACACAGAGAAGGGCCTGAGGAGGGGCTCGGGGACAGGCAGGCAGAGGAGGAGGAACCCTTCTCAGGTTAATCTGAACCACAGGCAGCTATGAGCCCCTTGGCATGCAAGGGCTCAGTGCGTCCCCCCTGGTCCCCCCCAGCGTTTGGGAGAGAGGGGGCTGTGCAAAACCAGGGTCAGAGCAGAGCAGGCAGCTGGCACCGCCACGACCTGTCTCCAGGGCACAGCTTAGGGCTGAGACTGAGCGCTCAGCCACAGGCTGGCAATCAGCTCAGAGGATTTATTCACTTGTTTTCCTTAAGCCACCTTATTTATTTTTCCCTTTTGGCTTCCTAGCTCTGGTCTCAGCCGGAATCCCTGGGATTTGCAGGCGGTTTTGTGGGGTACAGCGGGCTCAAGGCTTAGATGGGAGAGAGGCATGGGTTTCCCAACCCACCTCCTCCCACCCAGGAGACCTACCGATGGGGGACAGCTCGGCCACGCTGCCGATGTAGGGCCCCTCCAGGAAGCGTGGCTCGCTGTCGTTGATGTCCTGCACCTTGATGATGAACTCTGACTCAGGCTCCAGCAGCTGGTCCGTCTGCCGGTCACGGGCCTGAGCCCGCAGGGTGTAGAAGGTCTTCTGCTCCCGGTCCAGGCGCTCGGTGGCGTGGATGTCACCTGTGATCTCATCGATGAGGAAGATAGTCCCTGCGCCCTCCCCGGAGATAGTGTACTTGATGGAGCCGTCCCCCTCATCCGAGTCCGAGTGGATCTGCCAGGGAAAGAGGGAGAGGGTGGGAGCAGGCTGGGGTCATGCTTGTGCCCCCACAGCCCAGACCGCACGGATATGGAGCCCCTGGTCCCTGGGTGATGCCCATCTGCTCCCTCTGCTACTGCTGGACCAAAAGGCAGGACAGAGCATCACCAAATGGTACCTGTGCCCAATAAACTGGAACTGCAGTCCTGTCTCTGCCACCATATGCTTGGCAGATCACAAATCCTGCCAGTACCCACCCACACCACAAACCAAGGGCCAAACCTCACTCCTGTGGAGATGCTGGAATCATCCTAGGAGATGCTGGAAAAGGGAAGGACAATTCACCAGCACTCCAAAAAAGAGAGGCTTCCCCATGAGCAAGGACCCAGGACCCTGGCACCCAGCAGACTGGGGTTTAAGGGCAGCTCCCCAGCATCTGTCCCCATCCACCCAAAGCCCACCCTCATCTGCCAGCTCTGCTCCAGCCACAGCCACCCTCTGTTTCCTGGGCAGTCAGTGCTGACAAGTCTCCCTGGCTGAGAACGCACGCATTCGCTGCACATCTGTATTGACTTTACGTGGCAAGTAGCGGGGGGGGGGTGTCAGTCCCTCACAACATCACACCCAGAGCCCCCACCTGAGAAAAACCCACAAGAAAATATGGCAAATCAGGCTGTGTTCAGGATGAAACACAGACCCTGGGGAAGTTGCCTTTGTAGCCAATCTCCACTTCATTTTCTAATTAAGACAACGTTTGAAAATAGGAAAAGAAAGGGTAAACAGCAGCTCCCCATGGACCAGGAGCTGACTGGAATCCAGGCCAGACGTCCAGAGATAATTTTATTGGTGGCATTAAACTGAGTTATGAGGTTTTTACAATCCAGCCACTTATGAGAAATCTATTAACAGTAACTGGACAGGCAGAATGCATCTTGACAGAGAGCAGCACGGGCATTAATTGGGACAATCCATAACGGGATAGGCCCCCGGAAAGGTTTAATCGGCTGCTTTCATTTGCTTCCCACAATTTCTGCTTAGAATCAGCAAAGTCGTGCCCCCCCAGCCCCCTCCCCCCCAAAAAAAAAGAAAGAAAGAAAAAAGCCGTCCATTAATCGGCTAATGAAATATGAAAATGTTTATGGGCCATTCAATCTTCCAAACTGCAGTTCTATAATCCACCTTTCAGACACACAGCTCTACCAGCAAGAATTTATACCAGCGCTGCCTCTTTTTTATGACGCCTTCATTATATTTGTCTTGTTAGATACAGTTTATATATTTATTTCAGGAGTGAGGGGGCCCACGCATTAGACAATTCAATGCATTTTACACAACATTCACATATTACTGCCCATGTTGAAACGTCTCCCAAGGCTTGCCTGGGAAGGAGACCTTTGTTTAGCTGGGAAACAGGGCTGTGAGCCCAGCAGTGTGCTGGGACCAATGTGGCTGCTTGGCCACAGACCTGCTGGGGCAGCATCTCCCAGCAAGTGCCTGCAGGGATGGTCTGCCCCGCTCTGCAGGAGCATCCTGCCCTGGTGATCCTGCTTTATCCCTCCCCAGGCTGTGGGAGACCTTGTTGTCCCCTCCACTTTATCATCTTCTCCCTAATGTTTGCTACTACTCCTCTAAAGACCAAGCTTTTCAGAAAGAAAAAGGTGCACCTGGTCTGTCCAGTGCAGGTAACAAACCTGCAATTTTCTGCTGAACGCCAGGCTCACTATTAATAATTAGGCCAGAGATAAACCTGTGGCTGCTTGGCCACAGACCTGCTGGGGCAGCATCTCTCAGCAAGTGCCTGCAGGGATGGTCTGCCCCGCTCTGCAGGAGCATCCTGCCCTGGTGATCCTGCTTTATCCCTCCCCAGGCTGTGGGAGACCTTGTTGTCCCCTCCACTTTATCATCTTCTCCCTAATGTTTGCTACTACTCCTCTAAAGACCAAGCTTTTCAGAAAGAAAAAGGTGCACCTGGTCTGTACAGTGCAGGTAACAAACCTTCAATTTTCTGCTGAACACCAGGCTCATGATTAATAATTAGGCCAGAGATAAAGCACCCAGCACCTCTTCCCAGGACCACACCGAGCTCTCAGCACATCCTCTTTACATATTTGCTCATCGCTGACTGCTCAGAGCAGGCACCAGCATCCCTGCAAACTGGAACACTAAGGAAGAAAAATGGAGCCTGGGCTCAAGGGGCTGCAGTGATTGATTTACAAGGGAAGATTAAAAGAGCTAAATCTGTGCTGCTTGACTAAGCAACAACTAATGGGGGAGGGCAGTATAACAGAGTACAGACATGGGAGGGGAGATGCCACAGGCCCAGACTGCATCCCAGGGATGCTTTCTCCTGCCTTGTCTCTCCAGTACAGCAGGCAGGCTCAGGGAGCACCACACATGGGCACCCCTGACATGGCACAGCCCCGTGCTGACCCGGGGACCCCCACCGTACCTTCCCCCAAACCCTTTCCAGCTCAGCTCTGCACCCCAGGAGCAGAGGGAATCCCCAACTCAGCTCCTCTGGTCAAGGACAAAAGCATCCACAGCAGCTATTGAGGAGGTGGACAAAAAGCTCATCAGTTTATTAAACAGGAAAATAGTTTCCTTGTCCTAAAAGGCTACAATCAGGATTTTTTACGAAGCCGGTAATTACTAACTAATAATTAAATCAAAATTAAATGTGCACATTCCTTATTAAAAGCGATTAAACAGAAAGCAAAAATACACAAATAAAAAATGACTCTGGGGCTGGAAAAGAAAGAAAAATCAAATAAAAACTAGCCCGTAATAAAGGCGCACTCTGTTTGCTCCAACTCATAAAGCCCGAGTTCATCAATTTTCTTTAAATATTAGCAACTTAATTAAATCTGCTTTTTTCCCTTTAATCCTCTCCTCTATCTAAAATAGATCTGTCCACATGCAGAAGTTTGTAACTAGTGCTGACCCCATAATTCTATTTAAAAAACCCAAAGAAATCCACATCAAACTGACAGCAGCCTCAGGGGAAATTACAGTTCAGAAGAAGGATTAGCCAGAGAACCCAGATTTTATGGAAATGGTATCGGCCCTTGGAAAAGCACACGTAGGTGTGCAAGAGGTGTCCACGGAGGGCAAGCCCCAGCTACACCACATGGAGCTGTGGGTCCTCCCCATGCAGGAAGGCTCCCAGACCCACACGCTGGGCCTTGGGGGGGGTCTGGCCCCACTGCCCTGGGAAGCTGGGGGGTACCCCACCCTGGCTGTCCCAGGTGGACCCCCCAGTTTCTCCCAACCCCAGGAAAAGCCCAGCCCTGGGTTGCCTTCAGCCCTCAGGAGCAATATTCCTAGGGAATGGCTTTCAGCACAGGCTGGCTGCTTTTTCAGAGTGGGGTGGGCGATGCGGTGAGTGAGGTGGAAAGGGGCTGTAAAATGGGTTAGTTGTAGGTTCCCCGGGTTCGTTTTGGAGACGAGGCGGTTGCTAGGCTACCTCCGGAGTTTGACAGGGCTTGATGCCTGGAGTCTCTCCCCAGGGGAGCTGTGAATTAGCTGTAACTGCACCGAGCGCCGTGGCAGAGGAGTGCGCCTTTCGAGTGTCTGCCGAAATGGACACAAATCACCCTCGAAATCCCAGCTGGCCGCTAGCCAAGGAGCCCATTTTCAAGCCTCCTGCAGACTCACGACCAGGCGGGCTGAGGCCATCAGACAGCCCCCCTGCGTGAGCCCCTGTACATTTTCCTTTGGGGAGAGCCCATACCCCCCCAGGGGCAGCTCTGTCTTGCAGCACACTCCTCTGACTGGTCCCAACAGCTGGCACTGCCTTCATCAACAGACAAATAGCACATCCTCCTGACACATGGGAGCCACAGGGCAGCTTCTCCACAGCCCCCAGAAAAGGGCAAAGCCCACCAACCCCAAGGCAAAATGCTCCTTCAGCCTCAGGACACCAGTCCCTCCAAGCCCTGCACACCCACACCAAGAACCTTCCACCCCACACTGTGCAGGCCAGATACATAAATCCTGAAACAACCTCACTCTGGCCACAAACAAGAGCAGGATTGTCATTCCACAACAAGAATGGGACATCTCCTCCACCAGCCACAGTTTTCTGAGATAATTAGCTAGGAAACAGCTGCTGTAGCCTGCAGATCCAGGAGGTCCTTCCAGGACCAGCAGGGGCCACGAAACAAAACCCAGCACATGATCCCCATGCTGAAAGGGCTATGGGACCAAGGATAGACCATCTTCAGGAAGTCAGGGTTGCACCTGCAGCAGCAACCGCTGGGGCAGGAGGGCCCTTGGTGCTACAGCAGCACTTCAGCTCCCAAGATATAGCAAGGACCAGCATGAACAGATGACCGTCCTGCCTGATCTACATATCTGCTCCAGCCCAGCAGGTCCACCCACAGAGATGGAAGCTAAGCCTTCTCCACTGCCCCCCACAACAGCCCCCAGAGCTGAACCCCTTCTTGCACCCACCCCAAACACCATGGGAACCCAGCACACAACTGGAAGAATATAGATGTGAATTTTGGTGTGCTCCTGCCCTAGAGTTTTCTGGGAGCACATTAACCTCACCACCACCACGCCCCAGCTGGGACCAGGCTCCTGCCATTCCAGTTCATAGAGCTAACCAGGCCCCCATTAGCAACCTTCAAGCAGGTCCTCACCCTCCTGCCAGGCTTGACCATGCTGCCAGCGTGCCCTGCTCTGTCTCTGGCTTGGTCAGCCCCATGAAGACATAGGGTTACCTTACCTTCCCCACGTACAGCGGCTCCGTGCCTGTGTACTCCTCCACCACAAAGAATTGATTCCAGACCCAGCCACGCTTCACTCGCCCGCCGGCCAGCAGCGCAGGGTCCCCCGGTTGCCCGAGGCCAGGGCTCTCCACTGCAGCGTGCATGGCCCAGGCCCCCAGCTCCTGGATGGCGCAGAACAGCAGCAGCATGGTCCACGAGAAGCCCTGCAGACCCTTCGCCATTGCACTCTAGGAGGCTGCATGAGCAGTAGCTTTTGGAGGGGCAATTAGCATCCTTTAGGGAAGAGGAGGAGGAGGAGAAAAGTCCACACAAGCAGCGTGGGGCTCACCGGTCAGCGCAGAGCATCCCCATCCCTGCTGCATGCCGTTGTCCTGCAGCTGGAGCACTGCTGTCCCAGCAGCTGGAGTCACATCTGTGACAACAAGCGTCCTGGACCACCCGCTGCTAGCGCGGGAGCCGTCAGCGCTGGTGCCTCACAGGCTGCTCCTGGGTCTCCAGAGAAGAGTCTGGCAGCTGGCATTTGTCCCCGGGGACAGAGCTGCAGGGCTCCGTGCTCCGCCACCGTTGGTCTCGCTGGGGAGCGGGGTCCCACAGAGCCCACTGCCCACCCCTCCAGCGGGCAGGAAGCTCCCCAGCCACGTGCGGGGCACGGGCACCCACCACCGTCATCCACAGGAAGCAAAGGGAAGCTTTTCCACACGGTTTCCCAGAGAAGTCAAGAGGATGAGCTGCTGTAGCCAACGTCTCGCCTGTCCCACGTGGCCACGGACTACTGTGCCAAGGATCCAGCAGCACAGGCACTGGCACAGGTGCCACACGTGCAGTTCACAAGCCCATTTGTAACTCCCATCTCCAGGGGGATGACATCCCAGCACCCGGCGAAGGATCTTTTGCCCAGCTGATGCCAGTCGCGTCCATCCTCTGGGGGATCACACAGGGAGGCGCAGGGCAGCCGGCAGCATCCCCAGGAGCCTGGAAAAGGCCAAGGTGTCAGTGCTGGTGTGACAGTGGAGCTCCATGTTACCCCCCCCACACTGCCTCTGCAGCCTTGGTCAGTATCTCCCACCCTGCCCTGCCCCAGGTGTCCCACCACAAAGCCCAACCGGTCCTGCTGGAGAAGGTACCCTGGAAGGGAAGGCAGCAAGCTGCAGAACTCTCATCACGGTGGACATCTGCTCCAGCAAAGGGGACTCCAAAACCAAAAGGTCCCACTGTTGAGGGCCCATCCTCACCACACTGCCCTGGTTGCCAAGGGGAGTGAGATCTTCTGCACCATCGCTGCCCACACCACTGGGGAGACATGTAGACAGCACCCTCAGGGCCAGCCCACATGAGTCCTGCACACACAGACCATGCTGACACCAGGGGATGCCAGCACCTGGCAGTGGGAGGTGCTGGCTGTCCAGCCACTGCTGCCATTTTTCCCAGCAGAAGTTTTCCCATCACCTCACTTCTGCAGCCATGGGCTAGGAGAAAAGCATCTCTTCAAGGACTGGCCGCCTGGCTGATTTTAAAGCTAAAGTTTAAGAAAGGGCTCTGGAGTAAGCTTCAAGCCGCTCACAAGGCACTAAGGATGAAGACATGAGACCTGTGGCCAAGGGTAGACAGCATGCAGTGAGCACCTGGGGAGAAGAAGCCTGACCAGGAGATGGGGATGGATATGGAGCATCCATCCCTCCCTGCACCATCACCCTGAACTTCCACCACAGCCCTGTGACACCAGCCACAGCCAGAACCACTCATGAAACATGCATACCTTCACCGGTTTGCAGATTAATCTCCTGTCATCTGTTACTCTAAATGGGAGGGGGAAAGAGGCTGAAAGGAAAGGGAAATGATCCTGGACTGGGTAGCCATCTACTCCCCGTAGAAGGGGAACTGGACCGTGCCCCACACAACCCCCTGCGTGATTCTAAACAGCCCTAGCAGTTCAGAGCAGGGGCAGCCCACAAGTATTTCCCTAGCTTTTCCTTCCTCTTGCCACTCCCCAAGTGTGACACAGCACCGACAGGGCAGTTTCCTGGAAGCATCCGGTGAGCTGCACTGTCATTTCTGCATTTGCCTGCCTGGACAAACACTGGGAAATGTGGGGCATTAGTGCCAGGCATCATTCCACACTGCCTCTTCATCATTCACAAGCAGTGTGCCCTGCAACGTGCAGAAATCTGTTCACACACAAGGGCTCACGCTCACGTTCCATCCCATGCACAGCTAAGAGCACTCACACACACTGGCGCTCTCCTTTGACCATATTTGTGCCTCATTTGGATGTACACAGGTGTTTTCCTCTCCATGTGCACATGCTAAACTCCTCGTACACACGCTGTACTGCGCGCACACGTGCACATCAGCCCTCACACGTACAAGCCTTGTGCTCCTCATGCTCCAAGGAGCACAAGGGCTCCAGTGTGTGTTTATGTTAGCAATCACTGTACAGAAACACCAACATTCCCTCCCACTCCTATTCCCTGCTGGATCGGTTGTTATTAAGACCTCCCCACACCATGCACAGAAGGTTGCTGGCAGTGGCACGACTCCCTCTTCAGCGAGACCTCCCCACGCGGGAGCCATTCCTGCCACCGCTTCTGAAGGGCCAGCTACTCTTGCCAATCTGGTGAGAACCCCTATCAAACATCACAATATTTAACATCAGAGACTATACCTAAGGGAGTGAGATGACCTGGAGATGGGTGACCGACTGAGTCATTCTTTCCCACCGTTAGAAGTCTCACAGGATAAAATCACTGCAGCCTTCATCGATCAAACACAGATATAAAGGTCCCTGCTCTGGAGCCACGGAGCTGAGGGTGCCCCACCTGCAGCAGAATTCAGAGCAAGACACTCACAAAGACAGTAACAGGACACATACAAACCTGTTTTATCACACTTACATGGATATATAGAAGATACACTGAACAAGATATAGTGTACCACTGCCACAAACGGCATCTCTCCAATCTCTCACGTCTGGGAAATTTGTGGCTGTGTTGGAGTAAGTTCCCCAGACAGTGAGAGATGTCAATAAACTGAACGGCACCAGCTGGGCCAGAGCAAGAGCTTCAGGCCAGCACCCAGGGCAAGCAGTAAGCGTGGGGAGAACACCCCATGCAGCATCTCTGCCCTTGCCACCCTGCAGCACTCTGACAGGCGATGCCTCCAGACATTCCAAAGCCTGAGTACAAACGGGTTGTACCCAGTAAATGCAACTACCAGAAAGAGAACTTCATAGTCCATCTGCGTATCTTCTCAAGGACTACTGTGTAAGCAGAGCCTTGGGGTGAGGCAGTCACCAGTTGATGATGTCTCCCTCTCTGCCCATCCTGACACCCTCTCCTCACCACCCAGGCTACACCGCGCTGGTTTATAAAGCCCTGCCAGAAGCCTGACAAGGCAGCAATGTCACTGCCAGAGAGCAGTTCTGCAGCCACTGAAGACCTCCTGAATGCATGGGGGGAGGCTGAAAGTCAGCCTGATGATGCAGATGCAGGCACTACAAGGAATGTCAGCATCCAAGGGCCCTGAGCTGGCAGGGAGGTGGCACACTACCCTGGGCTCAGGGCACACAGCATCAACACTGGCTCCGTGAGGGCAGTAGGAGCCATCCCCATTCCCCTCCTCCCATCATTTCACACCCGAGTGCCATCTGCAAGCTGCCCATTTCCAGCACGACCTGACTACTGGAGCCAGCCCCGTACGCACACAGGGATGGCACAGCTACTTGTTTGGAAACAGGCACTGGTGCTTTTTTTCTTTCAGCCTTGCCAGAGCTACAGCGTATAAATGGAAGTGGCCACGCGCCGCACGGCATCAATAAAGCAGCAAAAGCAACAATTTAAATGCACGCAGTAAAGCAAGGCAGGAGGAGAGGAAGAGAGGGCAAAAGATGCCGCAGTGGGTGAGCACGGCTCGGGCAGAGCTGCTCCCCGGCTGGTGGACAAGCTGGTCCACAGTTCCCAAGGCAACTTGCTCAGCCCTGTTGCATCCGAGCACGCCACAGAGCAGGGAGAGGAGGGTCCCGCTGAGCCTGCACGGGCTGGGCTGCCGTTGCTGTGGGAACCACAACCTCGTGTTTGGAGCCTCAGCCATTACCAGCAAAACCAGAAAATACCTTTTTTTTTTTTTTAATGGTAAATGTCTGTTTTTAAAGAAAGAAATCAATCAGGCAGCTCAGACACTTGACAGAGTGGTCTATTAGTTTGCTTCAGAAGCACTCAGGTGTGTCCTTTTTTCCTGCTCACATTGCAGTTCATTTCTGGGCTTGTTCAGCTCTGAGAGTTTGCAGTGCAGGTGTCAAGGAATTTAAACTCATAGCACTAATAACAGTGTGTATTAGTAAACCGGTACATCCTTAATAATTTAATTTGACCTACCTGAAAATAAACAAAAGATATTCTAGAGCAGCTCATTAATTTACTTCTGACTTACTATGATTAGATGGCTTTCTTCTGAAGCACTGGTGTTGTGGATTCTCTAGGCTAGGTGATGTAGAGTATAGCTGTGTCATCCCAAAGCGAAAAGGCCCTGAAAGGAGGTCATTTGGGCTGAAGACTTGCTGTAGCATGTCCTTGCCTGAACTGGATCAGTTTTGAGGTTATTCTGTCATTTGCTTTCTGTGCATTTTATAGTTACTTGGGGGAAAAGAGAGAAAAACGGGATGATAGCCTTTCAGAGAGAAAACAGCTGGGGGAGAAGCTTTTATAATTGAAAAGAGAAAGAAATGACAACCTGCTTTTGGTTGAAGAGAAAAAAAAATCAGCCCCCCTTTTTTTTTTTTTTTTGCATTTAGCAGATTTCTCCTCTCACTGCTGCCTCTGAACTAATGTGGTTTGCTGGCGGCTGCCTCACATGTCCAAAGTTCAGCCACACTCGGCTAGGCTGTTTGCACGCTCTTCCCACGTGCAGCCGGGCAGGTGGTGTAAGGCAATTTGCCTCAGTGCACCTCTGAGACGCTGCAGAGCCCATCTGTGCCACCCATCGCCAGCTCCAGCCACCCAGAAACCCTGACCCAGAGACACAGCTGTGGCAAGGCTCATAGTGCCACAAACTGGGTTCTTCTTCTCCACCCATAAATTCTCAGTCTGCTTCTCTCCTGGCACAGCATCAGGCCACAGCCAGGGTCAGTGTCACGTCTCTTCTAAGCGAGCACACCTTTCTTTGAGGGTGGTGAGATGCTGGGACAGATTGCCCAGGGAAGCTGTGGCTGCCCCATCCCTGGAGGGGTTCAAGACCAGGCTGGATGGAGCTTTGAGCAACCTGGTCTGGTGGGAGGTGTCCCTGCCCAGGGCAGGGGGGTTGGAACTTGGTGATCTTTAAGGTCCCTTCCAGCCCAAACCATTCTATGATTGATTCTATGATTCTTTCTAGCTCTCACATCACGGACTGCTTCCAGAGGCAGCAGACACAAGAGCCCCAAGTCCTGCTTGTGCCCTTGGAGGGCAGGATTCAAAGTCCACCGGGGCTGCAGAGCACCACAGAAGGTCCCATGCACAGGAGCCAAGACCAGCACGACATTTATTTCCCCCCCATTGTTATTGAAGACCTTTCACCAACAGCTGGAAGTGCCACTTCTCTCTGCCACACGTGAGCAGCGGAGCCATAAATAACACGGGTGGGAGCTGGTGCAGGCAGAGCCAGCCGCAGCGCAGCATCCCGAGCAGGCGGCAGGATGCGGGTGGCTGCGGGTGCAAGGCACACGTGTGGCTGCAGGGCAGCATGCCCAGGCACCGGCAGTGCCAGGGGGGGTTCCATGCAACGCCATGAAGCACCAGACCCTCACACCACCCCAGGTCCGGGACGATGTCCTCTCTCCTGCTTCTCTGTCATTCCTGCTTTCCAATTATCAGCGCAAACCCCCCCTCCTGCCCCACAAGAGCTTGTGCAGTTTGTCGGTGTGTATTTGGCACAGCCGTACTGTACATCATGTTGACAGCAGAAATTACATCCTGAGCTTATGTTTTACACTGTGCTCTGTC